CAGAAATGTTGACCGGGGAACTTGGTGGTATGTTGAACTGGAAACTGGGGGGTCAGTTTTGCAGACAGGACATAGGTGTTCTGCAAAGCAGTCACCCAGTCTTCATTTCATCTCCCCTTTGTAGAGATGTCTGTCTAAAACTTCACCCTACAACTCATCCCTTCTCTTTGGGCTTATTGTCTCCTGTTGGAAGTTTCAGGTGTGGCCTTTGACCACATGCCTACTCGTTGCACAATTGCTGAGTGTTTCAGGGATTTTGTCCTCCCATTTCAATATTTAGCTCCCTATCTGCAGTAGAATATTGCTAGCACAGTTTCTAGTTTCTTTCTGCAACTGGGACACTTGAACATACGAAGATATGAATAAGGAGCAGGGATAGGCCACTAGGCCTCATTAGGTCATGGCTGATCTGATTACTCCACATTCCTGTCTACCCACAAGAACCTTTCATCCCTTTGCTTCGCAAGAATCTATCTATTCATGAGAAAAAAACTCTTTACTTTGGTGTTAAATTGGCAAGCCCTGATTTTGAAACAGTGATTCCGATGTCTAGATTCTTCCACAAGATGAAATATTCTTTTCACATGCACCCTGTAAAGATCCCTCGGGATTTTATATGTTCCAAACAAGTGTTCTCCTACTCTTTTGAACTCCAGTGGATACAGGAGTTGTTGGCTGGTTCGTTGAGCTGACTGGTTTTCGTGCAAACATTTTGTCTCCCTTCTAGGTAACATCTTCAGTGCTGTCTAGCTTCTGTTGAAGTGTCATTGTTCTCCCCTGCTCTGAATTTATATGGTCCAGTCTGTCATGGTGGGTAGTCCTGCTTCTGGTTTTGCACCATAGTGGTATGTAGATGGAGTCTAATTCAACATGTTTTTTTATCACACTGGTAGTTGAAAACCAAATGTCCAGGAATTCTCATGCATGTCTTTGTTTTGCTTATCCAAGTACTGTTACTTTGTCCCAGTCAAACTGATATCCTTTTATGTCGGAGTGTATTGAAATGAGGGAGAGTTGGTCATGCCGTTTTGCTGCGAGTTGGTGTTCATGTATCCTGGTCTGTCCTATGTAGTGTTTCTTGCAGTTGCTGCATGGTATTTTGTATATCACATTTGACCTGCTCATTGTGGGTACGGGGTCTTTTGTCTTTGAGTGTAACTGTCAAAGTGTGGCTGTTGGTTTGTATGCTATCATTATTCCAAGAGGTTGTAGGAATCTTGTAGACAGTTCTGATGTGTTTCTAACATCGGGTAGTGTGGCCAGTGAGTTGGGGCGTACAGAGTCTTCTTGGTGTTGTTTACTTGCCAGGCATCGGCAGTCAAAGCTTTTAGGATACCCATTGTTCATAAAGACTTTGTATAGGTGTCCCCATCATCTTTGCGCAGCTCCGGGGTGTTGCTGTGTGTTATCACTCATTTAAACAGAGTCTTGACACAGATGTGTTTGTGGATGCTGGGGTGGTTACTTTTGCAATTCAGGATTTGGTCTGTGTGTGCAGTCTTTCTGTATACGCTGGTAAGGAATTCACCATTGTTCGTCCCATCATTACATCTAGAAACGGAAGTTGACTGTTCTTTTCTTCCCCAGTGAACTTAATTCCAACGAATGTGCTGTTAATAAGGTGATGTGTTTCTTCTAAGTTTGCTCGTGTAATGATCACGAATCAGTGGATCCAAGTGTATCCAGTGGATACAAGCCTCACCTGTCCAACCTTTCCTCACAAAATAACCCCCCTATTTCAGACATTAGTATAGTAAATTTTCTCTGAATGCATTTACATCCTTCCTTAACTAAGGAGACCAACACGGAAGCATGGTACTCCAGATATGGTATAACCGAAGCATAACCTCCCTCATTTTGATTCAAATCCCCATACAATAAATTATAACAATCTATTAGCTTTCCTAATTACTTGCTGTACCTGCATACAAACTGTTGTATTACAGCATAGATTCTAGAGGACACAGGCACAGTAGTGTAAGAGAGTTACATGACATCGAATTGTGTGATGTTTTGATTTAACGGTACCTGCCACACCTGCAGTCACTCTCTGTGTAATGAAGTCAGTGTAATTTGTTAAGCCAATCAGCTGTCTATATATGTACATAATTACAGTAACATCAATAAACTCAGAACCATGATTAATTGTCAATTTCAGGATTTTCATGAAGAGGTGTTCCTGTATAAGTTCTAGTGAGTTATCTCTTGCAATTCTGTGCCACTCACCTCATTATGTATGCACATTACGTCTATGGTGCCTGCTACTGCTATCAGGCACTCACCAGTGTTGGAAGTCCTCGCCACTGCCAGGAACCTGTAGAATTCCTGGCACCAGTGCCATTTTTAATACGCAGCTGGGAACCAGATCTAGCACTCCCTTCCATTCCACCTTCTGACCCTCCCTTCCAGCCACCAACCAGATTCATTCCTCCCATTGACCCACCGGGTCATACCTACCACCAGAGTCCACCTATCACCACCATTCTACCTCCACCCCTCCCCCCCATCTTTATCTGCAGCTTGCCCTACCCCCACATCCAGTCCTTAAGAAGGGTATTACCCGAAACATTGCTCCTTTCCTCCAGATGCTGCCTGACCTGCTGTGTTCTTCCAGCCTCCTGTTTGTCCATGCTGTCAGTCAACAGCTGTCCTTCAGTTTCCTGTGTGTGAAGAAATGTCCCAAAGAAAGCTCAGCAAGAGAAGTTGGCTCCCCACTTCACCAACAGGGACTTGGAGGCCATCCTGGTAGGCGGGTGCGGTGATGCAGAGGAAGGCTGACCCTCTTTCTTCAGGGCCACCATAGGAAACCACAGCATCAGACCCTGACAGCCAGGTCTGAAGTTGCCATTCAGGTCAGTGCAATGTCTGTGGTCTGGAAGAATTCCCATCTGTGCAGAAAAATGGTTAATGACATTCTACACTCTGCAAGTGTAAATGTCACCATTGTCTCTCTGCTACCTCATACTCTCTAGCTCTGCTACTGTACCCACCTCCCACTAACAGTCGTGTTTACTGTCATGATTGTATGAAACATCTTCCCTCACTTGTTTATACCGATCCTAATCACTCTAGATGAATTATCCAGCATGGCCTCTGCACTGCCTAGTCACATATTTGGAACACCTCTCCATCTTTCCCTCACTACCAACAGCATTGCCAGCCATTTCTATCTCATTCAATCCTTCTCTTTGTCTCATTCCAGAAGAAAACATCTCTTCATAATTCAGCAAGAGCCAAAATGGGTGGTGGAGTGCCCAACATTCATTCCTTAGGAGAAGAGGATCTCCTTATCAGGACAGGATCATGATTGCTCACATAGTGATACGAAAGTCTCCATACCTACGAAGACCTGCCACATCTCGACAGTTGGTTGAGGAAGAAACACCCAAGGTCACTGGTGCTCAGAGGATTGCTGGAGTCCAGGCAGGAGAAAACCCCTGAGTATTGGATTTCATTCAAGGAGCGCCAGGCAGGTTTGTCAGAAGCATTGGGCAGACTAATTCCAAGGTTATCGAAGTCCACAAATGATTTCTGCACCATAAGGGCAGCATCTCTTAGAATCCCTATTGTGCAAAAAAGGGGCATTTAGCCCATCAATGTGCACTGACCTTCAGAAGACCACCCACCCTGACGCAGCCCCCACCCTGTCCCCATAACTCAGCATTTATCATGGCTAATCCACCTAGTCTGCACATCCCTGGACACTACAGAGTAATTTAGCATGGCCAATCCATCTAACATGCACATCTTTGGACTGTGGGATTACCTGATGGAAACCAATGCAGACACCTTGAGAATATGCAAACTCTACACGGTCACCTGAAGTTGGAATTGAGGTTGTTGACTTGCTCACTGAGCTGGCTTGTTCTCGTTCAGACGTTTTGTCACCATGCTCGGTGGACCCTCTGATGAAGCGGTGTTATTCTACTCCGCTTGGAATTTTTACTGTTTGGTCCGTTATGGTGAGTAGTGTCATTTCCAGTTTTGATCTGTATGGGTTTGTATCTGGGGTCCAATTCTATGTGTTTGTTGATTGCATTATGGGTGGAGAACGGTTGGAATTGAACCTGTGTGAAGCAACGGTACTAACCACTGAGCCACTGTGTTATCCATCTCTGCAGAGAAATAGAATTAACATTTCAAGTCTGGCATGACTTCTTCAGAACTCCAGTTTTATATCCATACCATTGCTGCCTCTAGCACACAAGCATCTGGCTGCCTCCATTGACAGGTTGGTGGCTGCCATTCAACGCCAAATCCAGTACACTCATTGTCAGCTGGATATGTTCACTGACTTGCACTCCATCACTCTAGCCATTGGTGCTCAGCACCGAGAACAATATCAATTTCCTCCCTTCATCTCCTTGTCTTTTTACCTCACTTTCCTCCTTTAACATTCTCCATAAGATGTACCTTTTTGACAAAACATTTGGTCATCTGACCTGAGCGGCAAGACATATCTTCTTACGTAGCTAGGTTTCATATTTAGCATGAATCTTCTGTAAAGTGCCTCGGGGTGTTTTATATTGTTTAAGACACTACCTATATTTTCTGAAGAGGGTCCAGACCCGAAACGTCAGCTTTCCTGCTCCTCTGATGCTGCTGGGCCTGCTGTGTTCATCCAGCTCTGCACCTTGTTATCTCAGATTCTACAGCATCGGCAGTTCCTACTATCTCTGCACCTGTATGCAAGATGCTGTTTTGCCCTCAAACCTTGCTGATTTGGAAATGAACTGAACTGAACTGAACTGACGTGGCCAGGCATCATATATACGTTCACCTTTAACTGAACTGTAGTTTATCATGTTAATGATAATATTGCTCCACGAGTCTTTTATTCAATAATTTCCCCAGCCAACATTTGACACTTGAAGCCACGACAATGTTACAACCACCTGCTTTGTACCGCCTCCTGGCTGCCAGGACTGAGCATGCGTCGCCCCGCCCACTCAACTGTAGCCAATACCCTTCATCTTCTCAAAAGTGATAACAGTCGGACCAATCGAAGCTCGCGTCCAATGGAGGCTAGGATAGTGACGACCAATCGCCGAGCTCGTCTCACCGGGGACGGGAAGTAGTGCGTAGAAACGGTCAACAAACATGGCGGAAGGTAGGTGCTTCAGATTTGAGCCAGGTCTCCTTTTTTTTTAAAAAAAATACAATTTGGCTGCTTGTTTTATCTGGGCGAGCTGGAGGCGGCGTTCTGAGCCACCAGAATGGCCGAGGTCGAATTCCCTGAAGTGACGATGAGTATTCTGTACTAAATGTAGTCAGGCTATCTCAGCCTATGAGATCTTAAAGACCCGCTGCTCTAGGTTTCTCAGCGCTGCGTTAGCTTCCCCGACCTCCTTCTACACTTGACCGTCCCCCTTGTCTACACTGAGGTGTTTCTTCCCGGCTTATTGCCAGAAGTTTGTGAGGCAGAGGTGAATGCTAGATAACAGCGCGACGATTTGATGTTAGCAACAACTCTTATTGACTCTCACTGGCTCCTGGTTTCGCCCAGCGCCTTATAGCCTTCTATGCTCACTTATCCGTTCTCTGCATCTTATCCCAGCCCCATTAGTCACTTCTTGTGTATTGTGGACACAGTACTGCACTGTCAGCCTACGTTGTATTCAACTTTCTGGAGACTGCTTGAAGCTGTGATATAAGGCTGCAAAAGGCAATTTTCTGAAGAAGGGTCTAGGCCCGAAACGTCAGCCTTCCTGCTCCTCTGATGCCGCTTGGCCTGCTGTGTTCAACCAGCTCTACACCTTGTTATCTTGGCCCTTTGAGCCGACATTGTCATTTAATTCCACCTTCCTTCACTAACCCCTTGTCTACTTACTTGAGCCCACAGCTGATTTGAAATCCCTTTACATTTTACTTAAATTTTCAAATTCATGTTGGTTTTCTTTTCAAATCAGCTCAAATTCCATAATTTGTGGCAGTCATTGTATTGAAGGAGGGACACTATTTTAGTCAAGGCTGGAACTTTCCAAAGCAAAGTTGAATATTGCTTCAGAGAGAAGCATGTTGCAGAAGTTTTTCATCTTGCACTCATTGGGACAAATACATTACCAAATTTCAAATTTCTAACAATTTATAGGAGAAAACGTTTAGCTGACAAGTTAACAAAGATATTTTAGGCTCCTAGTGCCTGAGTAACTTTTAAGGTTGGAAGGGTTGAACATATTCCTTCTGTCTATTGCGAGAGGTTCTAGAAAGCATAAATGAGTCACACTATAAACTCAACTGATTAACAGCTACACTAAGAACCAATATAACGTAATGTGCTCATGACTGCATAATGAATGCTCCTCAACTGGAGAACCACCTAATAGTAGGCCTTTGGTTTTGGATTTTGCAAGGGTGGTCTGGTTGAGTGTGGTCTGTACGCTACCTGTTACAAACAATGAAAGTACATGTAATTTGATCCGATTAACCAATTGGTGGGACATTTAGCCTATTTGTTAAGATAATTTAAAAAAAGAGAGAACTGTGGATGATGGAAATCAAAACCAAAGCAGAAATTGCTGGAAAAACTCAGCAGGGCCCTTCTTAGGAAGAGTACCCGAAACATTAACTTTGATTTCTCTCCACAGATGCTGCCATTAACTTTGATTTCTCTCCACAGATGCTGCCACACCTGCTGAGTTTTTCCAGCAATTTCTGTTTTGGCCTTAAGATAATCAGATGAACTTAACATGGTTGGCTTATATTTTCTGGAAGTGATATACAGTCATATTCAGGGACCTGAGATAACAAGGTGTAGAGCTGGATGAACACAGCCGGCCAAGCAGCATCATAGGAGCAGGAAGGCTGACGTTTCGGGCCTAGACCCTTCTTCAGAAATGGGGGAGGGGAGGGGAAGGGAAGGGGGTTCTGAAATAAACAGGGGGAGATGGATAGATGAGAAGATAGGTGGAGAGGAAACAGACAGGTCAAAGAGGTGGGGATGGAGCCAATAAAGGTGAGTGTAGGTGGGAAGGTAGGGAGGAGCTAGGTCAGTCCAGGGAGGACGGGCAGGTCAAGGAGCGGGATGAGGTTAGTAGGTAGGAGATGGGGGTGCGGCTTGAGGTGGGAGGAGGGGATAGCTGGGCTGGTTTTGGGATGCGGTCGGAGGAGGGGAGATTTTGAAGCTTGTGAAATCCACATTGCCACCATTGGGCTGCAGGGTTCCCAAGTGGAATATGAGTTGCTGTTCCTGCAACCTTCGGGTGGCATCGTTGTGGCACTGCAGGAGGCCCAGGATGGACATGTCGTCTGAGGAATGGGAGGGGGAGTTGAAATGGTTCGCGACTGGGAGGTGCAGTTGTTTATTGCGAACCGAGCTTAGGTGTTCTGCAAAGCGGTCCCCAAGCCTCCGCTTGGTTTCCCCAATGTAGAGGAGGCCACAACAGGTACAGCGGATGCAGTATACCACATTAGCAGATGTGCAGGTGAACATCTGCTTGATGTGGAAAGTCTTCTTGGGGCCTGGGATGGGGGTGAGGGAGGAGGTGTGGGGGCAGGTGTAGCACTTCCTGCGGTTTCAGGGAAAAGTGCCGGGTGTGGTGGGGCTGGAGGGGAGTGTGGAGCGGACAAGGGAGTCACGGAGAGAGTGGTCCCTCCAGAAAGCAGATAAGGGTGGGGAGGGAAAAATGTCTTTGGTGGTGGGGTCGGATTGCAGATGGTGGAAGTGTCAGAGGATGATGCGTTGGATCCGGAGGTTGGTGGGTGGTAAGTGAGGACGAGGGGGATTCTTTTTTGGTTGTTATTGCAGGGACGGGGTGTGAGGGATGAGTTGCGGGAAATGCGGGAGACCTGGTGGAGGGCGTTCTCGACCACTGAGGGGGGGGAGTTGCGGTCCTTGAAAAATGAGGACATCTGAGATGTACGGGAGTGGAATGCCTTATCCTGGGAGCAGACGCGGCGGAGGCGAAGGAATTGGGAATAGGGGATGGCATTCTTGCAGGAAGGTGGGTGGGAGGAGGTGTATTCTAGGTAGCTGTGGGAGTCGGTGGGCTTGAAATAGATATCAGTTTCCAGGTGGTTGCCCGAGATGGAGACAGAGAGGTCCAGGAAGGTGAGAGAGGTATTAGAGATGGTCCAGGTGAACTTAAGGTTGGGGTGGAAGGTGTTGGTGAAGTGGATGAACTGTTCAAGCTCCTCATGGGAGCACGAGGCGGCGCCGATACAGTCATCAATGTAACAGAGGAAGAGGTGGGATTTAGGGCCAGTGTAGGTATGGAAGAGGGATTGTTCCACGTAACCTACAAAGAGGCAGGCATAGCTTGGGCCCATGCGGGTACCCGTGGCCACCCTCTTTGTCTGTAGGAAGTGGGAGGAATTGAAAGAGAAGTTGTTGAGGGTGAGGACGAGTTCGGCTAAGCGGATGAGGGTGTCAGTGGAGGGGGACTGGTTGGGCCTGCGGGACAGGAAGAAGCGGAGGGCCTTTAGGCCATCTGTATGGGGAATGCAGGTGTATAGGAACTGGACGTCCATGGTAAAGATGAGGTGTTGGGGACCGGGGAATTGGAAGCTCTGGAGGAGGTAGAGGGGGTGAGTGGTGTCACGGACGTAGGTAGCGAGTTCCTGGACTAAAGGGGAGAAAATGGAGTCCAGATAGTTGGAGATAAGTTCGATGGGGCAGGAGCAGGCGGAGACAATGGGTCGACCAGAGCATTCAGGCTTGTGGATTTTGGGAAGGAGATAGAAGCGGGCGGTGCGGGGTTGGGGAACAATGAGGTTGGAGGCCGTGGGTGGGAGGTCACCTGAGGTGGTGATGTTGTGGATGGTTTGGAAGATGATGGTTTGGTGCTCGGGGGTGGGGTCATGATCAAGGGGGCGGTAGGAGGAGGTGTCGGAGAGTTGGTGTCTGGCCTCGGCGATGTAGAGGTCAGTGCGCCATACTACAACTGCGCCTCCCTTGTCCTCGGGTTTTATGATGAGGTTGGGATTGGAGCGGAGGGCTGCACGTTCTGCGGGGGAGAGGTTGGAGTGGGTGAGAAGGGTGGAGAGGTTGAGGCAATTGATGTCTCGACGGCAGTTGGAGATGAAGAGGTCGACGGAGGGTAGGAGGCCTTGGGGTGGTGTGCAGGAGGAGGGGGTGTGTTGGAGGCGGGAGAAGGGGTCAGGACAGGGAGGATTAGGCTCACGGTTAAAGAAGTAAGCGTGGAGGCGGAGGCGGCGGAAAAACTGCTCTGTCCAAATGTGACCGTAACTTCCCCCACTCAGTCGTCGAGAATGCCCTCCACCGAGTCTCCCGCATTTCCCGCAACTCATCCCTCACACCCCGTCCCCGCAATAACAACCGAAAAAGAATCCCCCTCGTCCTCACGTACCACCCCACCAACCTCCGGATCCAACCCATCATCCTCCGACACTTCCACCATCTGCAATCCGACCCCACCACCAAAGACATTTTTCCCTCCCCACCCTTATCTGCTTTCCGGAGGGACCACTCTCTCCGTGACTCCCTTGTCTGCTCCACGCTCCCCTCCAGCCCCACCACACCCGGCACTTTTCCCTGAAACCGCAGGAAGTGCTACACCTGCCCCCACACTTCCTCCCTCACCCCCATCCCAGGCCCCAAGAAGACTTTCCACATCAAGCAGATGTTCACCTGCACATCTGCTAATGTGGTATACTGCATCCGCTGTACCTGTTGTGGCCTCCTCTACGTCGGGGAAACCAAGCGGAGGCTTGGGGACCGCTTTGCAGAACACCTATGCTTGGTTCGCAATAAACAACTGCACCTCCCAGTCGTGAACCATTTCAACTCCCCCCTCCCATTCCTCAGACGACATGTCATCCTGGGCCACCTGCAGTGCCACAACGACGCCACCCGAAGGTTGCAGGAACAGCAACTCCTATTCCGCTTGGGAACCCTGCAGCCCAATGGTATCAATGTGGATTTCACAAGCTTCAAAATCTCCCCTCCCCTACCGCACCCCAAAACCAGCCCAGCTCGTCCCCGCCTCCCTAACCTGTTCTTCCTCCCACCTATCCCCTCCTCCCACCTCAAGCCGCACCCCCATCTCCTACCTACTAACCTCATCCCACCCCTTGACCTGTCTGTCCTCCCTGGACTGAACTATCTCCTCCCTACCTCCTCACCTACACTCACCTTTACTGGCTCCATCCCCGCCTCTTTGACCTGTCTGTTTCCTCTCCACCTATCCTCTCCTCTATCCATCTTCTATCCGCCTCCCACTCTCTCCTATTTATTTCAGAACCCCCCTCCCCTCCCCCACTTCTGATGAAGGGTCTAGGCCCGAAATGTCAGCCTTCCTGTTCCTATGATGCTGCTTGGCCTGCTGTGTTCATCCAGCTCTACATCTTGTTATGTCAGATTCTCCAGCATCTGCAGTTCCTACTATCTCTGATACAATATTCAGGGACCTGTTGCCTGGAATATGCTCAAGCCTTGTACCTTTCCTAATTACCTAAAAGCTTAGGGAGCTGATAGTTCCTTGTTGCTTTCTTTGTGACAATGCCTCAGCCAGGCAGAACTTGCCAACCAGTCAACATCAATTTCTTCTCTAGTATTTATTGTTATGAATGTTTAAAATTTAGCATTCTTGTTTGTCCTGATATCAGAATGAAAAGCAGCAGCAGCAACATGTCTCTTTTCATCAATATTCAAGTTCTGTACTAGCAATAATCACAACTCATTCTCCTAAACTCTGGTGACGAGAGGTCTGGTCAACCTCCACTGTGCACCCCCTGGGGAAAATACATCCTTCTTTAGGTAAGGGAACCAAAACTGTACACGATATTCCAGGTGTTGCCTCACAATTATCTGTACAATTGTGACATCTTTACTCTTGTATGCAAATCTTCTGTGATAAAGGCCAACATACCATTTGACTTCCCAGTTGCTTTCCGGTCCTACATGCTAGCTTTCGTTGAGTTAGTACTTCGGGTCCCTTTGCCCGCCTTACACTTAGTAATCTCTCTCCCTTTAAGAAATACTTTGCACCTCTGTTCTTCCAACAAAATGGATAACATTTATCCACATTATATTCCATCTGCTATACTACCCATTTACTCAGCCTGTCCAAACCCTCCTGAAGCCTCTTTACATCATCTTCGTAACATTCCTATGTAGTTTGTGCCATCTGTAAGCCTGAAAATGTCCCAAAATCCAAATCCTTAATATGGGTTATGAATAGCTGAGGCCCAAGCGCTGATCCTAATGTTATCTCACTGGCCACAGCTTAAAAACCTGAGAATTATCTTTTTATTTCTCGTTTTCTTTCCACTAAACACTGCTCAGTCTATTAAAGGCAAGGATGCTGGATATCTGAAACAAACACAATGCTGCAGAAACTCAACGGGTCTGGTAGCATCTGTGGAGAGAGAAACAGTTAATTTTTTTGAGTCTGGTATGACTCCTCAGAACTAGAAGGTGACAGAAAATAGTTTTATTGAATACTCTTGACAGAGGCAGAAGGGAAGCAAGAGGGCAAATGGTGTACAAGTCCTTTGCAAAAGATGAAGTGTTGTTAGAACAAGAAAGCTATTAAAGGGTGAAATTTGGTGTGAAAGGGAGAAACTAGGTCCTTTTCTACTAAATAAACGAGTAAACAACACAAATACAACACGGCTATGGGGGAAAAGGGATGGGAGGGAATGTAAGAAAGTGAAAGCAGAAATTGGTCAAAGAGAGACAAGCTCAACCAGGTGAAGGAGGGTGGTCGTGGTGAACAGAGACTGTAGGCTTTTTTTCAAGGAAGAAATCTTTATACTATCCTGGTGGGGAATAGTTGAATGAAGGGATTGCACATCCATGGTGGAGAAAGTGGCTAAAACCAGAAAACTGGAAATTTTGGAACCAATGTAAAGTATCAAAAGAATCACAAATGTAGGTGGGAAGAGACAGAACAAGAGGGAGAAAAGAAATAGTCAAGACAAGAAGAAATTAGTTTAGTGGGGCAGGAACAGTCTGAAATGATAAATCTGCCATGACAGTCCACTTTGGGAAGGACATGGCAGCGGGCTGTATGGGCTCAGGTGACTGAGATGGGAAGCTGGATGGTGGGAGTGGGGTTGGAGAATCTCCAGAAGAGAGAAGGTCCATGACAGTCCTAGAAACAATAGCTTGATGGAGGGGTCATATTGCAAGAGGTGTCTGAGTGTTGGCCCTCAGCTTCTGCCCAGTAGAGGTCTCTAAGCCCAGATGATGCACCACCCTTATGGCAGATTTGATAATAAGATTGGGGTTGGTCTTGAGCAACCATCATCCAAGCCATCTGCTCTCTTGCTCCTACTTTGCCTCTGTCAAAAGTATTAAAAAAAAACCTATTTTATAACACCTTTCAGTTCTGAAGAAGAGTCTTGCCAGACTTAACATTAACTCTGTTTCTCAATCCTCAGTCTATGTATTACCAACTATCTCTGATGCTCTAATTTTTTTCCTAACCACCTGGATGGCACCTTATTGAAAGCTTTCTGAGAATTCAAATACACACATCCATTGTAAATGTTGATTGTTATTTAAGAAAAGTGAAAGAGAAGTTAGGAAATTATAAATTTATCAGTCTGTTGAAGTGTATAAATAGGAACAAAGTGACTGAACACAAGGAAATTTGAGCCTATTAAAGAAAACTAGTCTGGATTTAGAAAGGATAGATTATGTAGAGTCACAGGTCTACAGCACATAAAAATGCTCTTCAGGCAATTGAGTTTGTGCTAGTCAGAAACAACTACCTATTTTAGTACCATTTTCCAGCACTTGGCCTATAGCCTTGTATGCCTTAGCATCACGTATACATCTAAGCACCACTTCAACGTTATGAGGGTTTCTACCTCTACCACCCCTAACAGGTAGTGAGTTCCAGATTCCCATCTTCCACTGAGTGATAGAAGAATTTCTTCATATTTCCTCTAAACCTTCTAATTTGTACCTTGAAATTATGCTCCCAGTCATTGATCACTCCATCAAGGGGAAAAATTCCTTCCTGTCTACCCTGTCTGTGCGCCTCATTTTGTACAGGCAGTCCTCGGGTCGCAAATGGATTCCATTCTGCAGTCCATTCACATATCAATTTGTGTGCAAATTGGAAAACAATGTAGGACAATATAAAGATCCTGTTCCTAAATACAGAAAATGTTTGCATGGCGAGACTAAAATTACGCCCTTGTATGAGATTGCATTCGTAAGTATGAGTGTTCATAAGTCAGATGTTTGTAAATTGGGAAACCTCTATACATCTCATAGGATATGGGCATTGCTGGCTGGGCCACCATTTATTGCCTGTCCCTAATTGCCCTTGAGAAAGTGATGAGCTGCCTTCTTGAATCCCTCCAAATCATTGTAGAGCAGCGTATGCTTCCTTGAGTGGTATGCTGTTTTCAGTCTGTTTTATCCTAAAATTACCCTTGCCAAAATCCCAATCATCTTTCTTAACTTCTGATTTCTTTTTTAAATCTATCCTTCAATTTGATAATATAATCATTGGATTATTAAGAGGCATACCACTGATTGTTAAATCTAACATGAGTGCCCTTTTGTTTGTTCTAAATATGTTGTTCCAGAAAATAACGAGTGCTCTCAAAATTTACTATCTGACTTGAGCCTCTTAGTATGTGAAAAATACTCTCCCATTACTACAACTCTGCTTTTGCTATTCATCTCGCAACACATTCTTACTTGTCATTGCTTTCTGGTGACCTAGAGACAACACTCTGTTTTACCTCAGTTCTGACCATAGATAAATGAAAGCAATCAGCAAAAACTATGTCCTTTCTTCCTAATGTAGTAATATTATCTTGAATCAATAAGACTGCTCTCCTACCAGTTTCTGTTATCTTTCTGAAAACGTTATACTTGGAACATTTAACTTCCAATCATCAGTGGCTTGAAAGCATGACTATCATGTCATACTCTAGAATGTGTATTTGTGCTTCTAATTCAGTCGATTTAGTTTTATACAATTAATATACAAAACATTTGCTCGGGCAAGAAGTCCTACTTGTCATCTTGGGTTTATGCTGTTTTTCTCACATTGTTTAACTTGATTCTTATTTGGAAATTTGTTGTTATTAGTGTTCCCATAATCTGGAGTAATGTATATTACTATGACCTTAACTCTACAATTTTTGCTGTCGCTTCTCACTGAGCCACTCCCTGTCCTACAAAATTTATTAAACTCTTCATTACATCAGATCTTCTGCCAGCCTGGTTCAGATGCAGACTGACATATTTGTACAACTATCGCCTGACCCAGGGAATGAGCCAATATCCCTTAAAATCAAACTTTTTCTTCCCAAAACACCTTTTTTAGCCACATGTTCATCTTCCTGTTTGTTCCAATGCCAATTAGAATGTGGCTTTAGTAATAACTGAGATTGTCACCCTTGAGATCCTACTTTATTATTTCGATCCTGACTTATCTAAGTTTATTACTCTTTCCCTATGTCATTGGACCTGAAATGAACATCATAACTGGATTGTCTCCCATCCTTTCCAGGTATGTTGAAATATTCCCTACCCTGGCATCAGGTTGGCAAAACACATTTGACATTCCTGGTGGTGATTACAGAGGATGCTATCAGTACACATTATTATTTGTTTCATTCCATCGCTATTGTTGTCATCAGGTTCCCAACCTCCAGATTCAGTCAGTGAACGTGTCTGCCATAATCAACAGGAGTATTTGCTTGTATAAGTGGAATGTATCCGGTTATCAGAAAACAACAGTTGTATTTGCCAGAATTTGCTTGATGCTTTTATTAAGATTTGATGGACCTTCAGCATGTAGGAATTTTTTGCCCTGACTTATGTGGATAAAGAACTGTGCTGAGACATGATTTAATTTTATTGTCATGTCTTTACTTCCTTAGAGCACAGTGAAACGCTTGCAGAACCAAACCTGGAAGGACAGATGCAGGTAATACGAGACTGGAATTAAGTGAGACACAAGAACACAAATATCTTGTCTTTTATTTGGCTAGGACAAAAATTGTACTGTTCTCCGACAATGTCTGTCTTTTTTTCAGATATCAGAAAATCCTCACGCGGAGTACGGTCTCTCTGAGAATGTGCAGGTACTAAACTGAGCCATGTGGTAGTTTACTCCAGAGGCAGCTTCACACACTGTCAAACCTATACATATACAAGTTTACTTGTGCAATTAAATTGAAGTTATCTTCAATACGTTGCCCTGTATAATCATATGTATTTGGTAAACCTTCATTAACTTTTGTTAAAGCTTTCCTAATCTAGTCTTAGGGATTGTTTGCAGACATTCCAGCCAGCAAATATGAGTCAACAGTAAGTATGAAATAAAGCTAATGGGGCTTGGGATTTTAAAATACTGTTTGTCATGAATATTTGGAGGAAGTATAAAATTTTATGCTGCTCTTTGGTCTTCGCACCTTATGCGATCTATATGTAATTACCTTTGTGTAAACTGCGTGGCATTTAACAATAAGTGCTATTGTATTCATAGATTAACAAATACCATTAAAATAAATTCAATTTGAATTAATTTAAATGCTTAAAACTCAGGATTGCGTTTGCACATTTGGATGAATTATGGAATATTATAAATCATAACACCTCCCTGGTTATTATTTTTCATTAAACTTTGCCTAGTCTCCTATTTAGGTCTCCATGGCTGTGCCATTATTCCACATAGTGCCAAGTGAATCAGCCAGGAGAACTGATACAGCTTGGTTTTTAGAACTGTTTCTGTGAATGCTTAGATGAAGTATATTAACTATTTTATGCTCTTCTCTTAAGGTTCTTGGCTATTTTGACTGCCCTCTTGATCAGTCTTTCCTGGTATCTATTAAGTGACGCTACTGCTGTAAAGTGCATTTGGGCAGTATGATACTTTAAATTAAAGCCTTGCAGTTAAGTAGTCCAGTGATCTTTAAGTGAGAACAATATACTGCAGAAACTGGAAATCTGAAATGAAAACAGAAAAAGCTGGAGAAACTCAGCAGGTCTGACAGCATCTGTGGAGACTGTTAATGTTTTGAATCCAATATGACTCATCAAAACTGAGCACACTGATATTTGCTGTTTGTGCTCACAAATGAGCCATGGACACTTGAGTGAGTCAAAGGTGCATCACGAAGAATATAATTTCAAGGGTTTGTTTTGGGTTATACAGTGTTTTGCCACAGATTTAATTCCCTCCTCAACCCACAAACTTTGATTTGATCTCCATTGTACTTCAGTAGAAGGTGTTTCCTACAATAATTGCCCTAAGCCCCCCCTCACTAACTAGTCAGAATAGTATTTGCCTGGGAATGTTTACTTTTCCTTGTGGAGGTTAGTAGAAGAGTAATGCAGGACAATCATAAATCCCATTTTTAAAATGCATGAAGGAACATCTTTTGTATTGAACTTTGTTAGTGATCATTGATAGCAATCCTATTTGCCTTACAAACTACATTAGAACACTTTTTTGTTGAAGATGTACCATGAGGATTAAAGTTAAAGCTTTCTTTATTTTTTCCTGAATGGAATAGAGGATAGTTGAGAATGAAAAACTGAATGCGGAGAAAACATCTAAACAGAAAGTGGATCTGCAGTCCCTTCCAACTCGGGCGTATCTGGATCAAACAGTGGTACCCATTCTTTTGCAAGGCCTCTCAGTTCTGGCAAAAGAAAGGTAAGATGCTTATGAAAAGTGAGTGTATATGGCTGTTGGGGTCATGATTGTTTAAAATTCACCCTTATATGCACCATTGCAAAGGCTGAGAGCATTCTTTCATAAGTTACGGGATGCCTGGGAGCTTATGTTTCACATCTACTTCTTTCTCTTGTAAAATGAAGAAAGAAACAGTACTTCTGAATTCTGTTAATGCTGTGAGCATCACTCTGGGGTATAGTTCACAAGGTAATGACCAGCATGTTTTCATGGTATTTAGCACTTTAACAATTTGGATATGGTAGGGGTGGGGGACTACCTGATTTCTATGACTCCAGGATTTTGCACTTTTCTCCCTTTTTTTTTAAATCTTAATGTAAGTAATGTAAGTTCTTAATTTCAAAATGGATTTATTAGCTGTGACATGCAATGCATTGCTGTTTATTACAGAATGTGTACAGGCAGGGGTCACTCTAGAATTCATGGAGCAAAGTCCCACTGTGTAGCTAAATCTGGGATTACCTCATTCTTTTGAGTTTACATCAACAAAATGTACATGTTGAAGCCTGTGTAGGACAACAGTTTTATTCAAAGTATTGTTTTTATGCTGGAGGCAAGTATATCGGATCACTGCTATTTCTGATCCAGATTAATAACAAGGACTAGATTTACCGACATAATTTCAAAATTTCCAGATGAGACAAAACTTAGAAGTGCACTAACACTGATATAGGGAGTAATAGCCTTCAAGGTGATATAGATAGACAAATGAAATGTGAGGGCATGTTGCAAATGAAATTCAACATAACAAATTGTGAGGTGATACAATATTTTAGTAGAAAGAATGAGAGAATATTATAAATGGCACCATTTTAAAAACTTTTGAATGAAAAGAATGACCTGGGACAACTAGTGCACAGCTTATTAACCATGGCAGGACAGTTTAACAAAGCAATTAATAAAATGTATAGGGTCCTGGATTTTACGTTTCCATTTATAGAGTACAGGTGCCAGGAGGTTTTGTGTAAAAGTTCGTGGAAAACTCCCAGCTGGAGTATTATGTCAGATTTTGGGCACGATACTTTAGGAAGGATATGTAGATTTTGGAGAAGATAAAAGAATGAGACTTGACTTTTGTTTTAGTAGTCAGAATTTGGATGTAATGGACACAGATACAACTGGAGCTTTTGCAAAGGAATTGAATGACTACTTTTAAGAAGAAAAATTGCAAGGATCGGGGGAAACAATGGAGTAGAGGGCCTAACTACTTTGTTCTTTGAAGAACAGGCACAGAGCTGTTGGGAAAAATGACCTTTTTTTACAGCAGTATACCTTGTGCCAGAATCTTGTGTTAATTGTAATCTCAAAATTCCTTAAATTCTTTTCATCCTATTGTCTTACCCTTGCATCTTTATAGTTAGTCTGCATACAAAAAACATATCTGCAATTGAAAATTTGTAATAATAGGCTAACAGAGTGGATGTGATGAAAATTGGGAGTAGTTATCCAACGTTTCTCTAATTTTGGGATTTTCCTAATTCTCCAGTTTAGTTTTCAGAAAATTAAATATCAAAAGGAGCAGAGAAATTGTTAATTTCTCTCAAGTATCTGAAAGTTAAACTTCAAATTGAACTTTCTCAGAATTCGGTGTGGGCAACATTATACCAACTTCTACACATTTGTCAAGGTTTGGTTATTTGTTTTAAATAGTTTTGAACTTAAATTCCAAATGAACCTTTTCTCCGCAATTAGCTATGACTAAAGGCAACTTCAGTTAATCTCCTTTCAAGTGTGACCAAAACACAGTTGTTACAAACGGGTTTATGGTTTCAGATGAATTCAATTTGATGCAACCACTAATTAATGAAGGAAATATCTTGTGCAAAGCCTTGTACTTGTACGTTTTCATGAGATAAATTTGCGCATTGGTTGTTCCTTAACATGAAGTTTGCAATTTTAAAAATAGACACATAGTTTACCATAAAATACTGTTTATTCTGTCTTATTTCCAGACCTCCCAATCCTATTGAATTCCTGGCCGCATACCTTTTGAAGAACAAGTCACAGTTCGAAGAGAGAAATTAGCTTGCATGGAAAATGCAAAACTGAAGACTTCATCGGATCCATTTGCAGTTGCAAAGAAGGCGGTGACTCTAGAATATCATGGTTTGTGAAAGCAAATCAGGAAAAAAAACAAGACCAGGATATGCATAAAGTGGCTCATAATTCATCTAAAGTGTGGTAACTGTGCATAGCTCATCACCATTTTCGGTTATTTATGTAAACATTGTGATGTTAAATAAACCACTTTGTGTTTTTACATTGGTTCAATAATGTGCAGTTCTTTGCTTCACTCTGTCTTCAGAAAACACTGCCTTACTTGACATTTTCTTTTGCAGGGAGTATACAAGTAAGTCTGGAATAGTATTTGAGGGGTTAAAGGATTATGGTTAAAGCAATGTGATAGAAGGGTAGATGTGAAACAGGCTTAAATTATTGTGCTGGGCAGGAAACCAAACAGGACAATGGGAAATCTTAAAATGGAGATTAAGAAGTGAACTAGTGAAAAGAAAGAATAAAAGGGATAATGAGAAAAGCCATCCAGTGGCATAAAAGGAAAATAATTGAGGATACTAAAGATAAAATAATTAGAACCATCTTAAGGATGTTAAGTACAAAAGAATTGGAGAACAGCAAAGACCAATCAGTTGGAAACAATGAGTTTGTGGAGGATGCAGGTGTGGTGAAAATGTATAATTTGTGAGTTTTACAGTGATAGAAGTTACTATATAGCCATAAGGAGATGACAGAATAAATGTCAGATAACAAAAGAATTTGGATATGGAAAAACTGAACATATTCAAAATAGATGTTAACTGGCTTTGATGGAATGCATCCTTCTGTTAAAGAAAGCAGAACTAGAAACCCTCTCAATCCAATTTTTCAGTCTTCTAGTTGTGCAATAATTACTACTGCAGATTGGTAGGTAACTAATGCAATGCCTGTGTTCAAGATGTGAAAAAGGAGGATAAACTGGCTAACTATAGACTAATTACAGAAATGTTTGTTATGGATAAATCTTAGGTTGAAGTTAGTGAGCATTTAAAATGTGCAGCAGTATCACAGTCAGCCAATGCTTTGCATCGTGGATCGGTAAACACCAAGCTACACAAATCCTGTTTACCTGCACTTAATTTTGTTTTAAAACTGGCATGTGTTAGAAATTGGATACATCAAAAGAATGCAGCAAATCCAGCATAATGGCTTTTCAAAAGATATTAACTGAATTGTCGGACATTTTTCTGCAAGTTACACATATGGTGTAAGGAAGTAAAGCCATGAGGATAACGAGTTTATTGCCAGAAACTCCGGTTAAGGTAGGCAGGTGCTTCTCAATTTGTAGAACACAGTCTTATTGCTTTTTTTTTCCAAAATGTATTTGGAATTAGAAATTGGAACATAATGCTGAAACTACCTGATGCACATATCAGTAAGGAATTTGGGGTAATAACAAGGAAAGCTATAATAGACAGCTGTTGAAAGTTTTTTGGCTTCACTGCGATCAGCATCAGTCGTTATTTGGTCCCAATCCCACATTCTGGCAACAGCACAATGCCTAACCTTTATCAATATATTCAACAGAAAAAGCACTCATGACATACAAACAAATTTGTGCCGTTCATCCATGACAATGCTTGTATCCCTCAAATCTTTACGACCGCTTACATTTTGGTGAAACAAGACCAAAGCTCAGCATTATTTCTTGGGCAGAAAGTGACCACACAGGACAACTTTTGTGACTGGACTCAATTATTAGAACTTGTACATTTAATCAAAAAATGCTGCATTTCTATAAAACTTCAGTTATTTTGCTTCACCTAAGGTAATTTATAATTTGCTGAGGCTGAAGCTGGACCAAAGCTGCCTTCAGTTTTAAAAACTTAACCCTCCGTTTCTGGGTACACACTTCTAAAACATTAACATTAGATTAATAGCAACTCTGCACTTTGGGGAAATTAGTGGTTGTATCCAACAACAGTACACACAGAGAAGTAAGTGAATAGATCAGGTGGATATTCTGGAGAGAAAGTTGAGCACTCAGCCAAGCTAGGATAGCCGGAGGTAAGGTCAATTTCAGAAGGCCATAAACCAAGTATTTCAGTTGGCAGCCAGTTTTTTTTTCTGGCAAATGTGTTATGAATTCCAATGGTACAGTACTGAGACACTCCTTGGCCCATCATGCCTGTGCCAGCTGTTTGGAGGAGTATGATTTATAGGGATGGTTTTCTAGAACACACTGGAGAAGCTCACTTGAGGACATGCTAAATGGCAAATGTGCATTTCTTCATGGTGCAAAATCTTAAGATCAGTCAACCGTGACAAAAAGTAATTTCAGGTTGTATTAAGATGATAAGGAATAAAGTTATCAGAAATTATAGTAATTCTGAGGATCGGGAGGTTTAAAGAAAAAACAAAAAAGGACCAACAAACTAATAAGGAAGGGAGAACAGAATGTGAATGTAATCTAGCAAAATAATTGTAATTGTAAAAGCTTCTGTGGGTACGTAAAAAGAAAACATTTGCTTAAAGCAAATGTAGGTTCAATACAGGTAGTCAGGAGAATTTATAATGGGGAACAGAAATGGCAGATAAGCTAAATTATTACTTTTGTGCAGAGTACTTCCTAAATGATAAGAGGATGGAAAGTGTAGATGTACAAATGGTAATAGGAGTCCTTGTCAGTAAGTCAATTAAGACGAATGTGTAGGTTCAGTAAGTATTTAGGAAGATCAATCAAATGTTAGCCTTTATTACAAGAGAATTTGAGTACAGTAGTGAAGTCTTGTTTCAATTGTATGGGAGCTTGGTTAGACAGCACCTGGAGTTGTGTTGTTTGATTTCCTTATCTCAGGAAAAATATTATTGCCATAGACAGAGTGTAACAGAGGTTCACCAGACTTGTTCCTGGGATGGGAAGATTATTTTAGGAAGAGAGATTAGGCAAACTCGGTCTCTGTTTCCTAGAGTTTCAAAGAATGACAAGTTGAACCTGTCATTAAAACCTACAAAAATACAAAAGGCATAGACAGGGTAGATACAGGGAAGATGGTTCCCTGGTTTGGGGAATCTAGAATCGGGGCACAACTTAAAAATAAGGGGAATGCCTCTTCAACGGAGATGAGGAGAAATCTTTTTACTCAGAGGATTGTGAAGTCTCTACCTTTATAGACAGCCCTGGAGCCGAGTCCTGGAACATGTTTAAGGTGGAGATTGATAGATTTTGGATTATCAATAGCAGACAGGGTTATGGGAATGGGATAAGTAAAAGACATTGAAGCATTTGATTAGCCATGATTATATTGAATGGTTGCTTCCATTCTTATCTTCCTGTTCAGTTCTCCAATCTATCTTAACTGAAATTTCTCATCTATGGAACCATTCTTGCAAACCTCTTCTGCACACTCCCCAATGCATTCACAATTTTTCAATTTTCCACCTCCAGTACGGTGTAGTTATCTGGACACTTTTATGCATACTACCAATATAGTTTTCCCCTCTTGCTACCTCAATTACTGATTTATTTGATAAGATGTCACATCAAAAGTTCCTGCAGAAAATAAGTGCCCATGGTGTCGGTGATGGCAAATTGGCTGGATAACAAGGAGTCAGAAGGCATAAATGGGTCTTTCTCAGGTTGGCAAAATGTAATAAAAAATATTTTTTAGGCCTGTCGAGCCTGCACCACTATTCAATACAATCATGGCTGATCATGCAATCTCAGTAACCCATTCCCACCCTCTCCCTATACCCTTGATCCCTTTAATCGCAAGGGCCACATTCAGCTCCCTTTTGAATATATCTAATGAACTGGCCCCAACAGCTTTCTGTGGGACAGAATTCCACAGGTTCACAACTCTGAGTGAAGAAATTCTTCCTTATCTCGGTCTTCCTTATCTCTGGCTTACCCCTTATTCTTAGACTGTGACCCCTTGTTCTGGACTTCCCCAACATTAGGAATATTCTTCCTGTATTAGCCTGTCCAGTCCCATCAGGATTTCGTATGTTTTTATGAGAATCCCCCTTCATTCTTCTAAATTCCAGCAAATACAAGCCCTGTCGACCCAGTCGTTCCTCATATATGTCAGTCCTGCCATCCTGGGAATCAGTCTGGTGAACCTTCGCTGGACTCACTCAATAGGAAGAATGTCCTTCCTCAGACTAGTAAACTAAAACTGCACACAACACTCAAGTTGTCACCTCACCAAAGCCCTGTATAACTGTAGCAAGACATTCTTACTCTGATACTCAAATCCTCTCGCTATGAAGGATAACATGCCATTAGCTTTCCTCACTGCCTGCTGCACCTGCATACCAACCTTCAGCGACTGTTCCACCATGACACCCAAGTCTCGGTGCATCTCACCTTTTTCCTAAACTTCCACCATTCAGATAATAATATGCCTTCCTGTTTTTGCAACCAAGGTGGATAAATGTGGATAACCTCATATTTATCCACCTTATATTGCATTTGCCAAGTATTTTCCCACGCAGCCAGTCTGTCCAAGTCACCCTGCAGCCTCGTGGCATCCTCCTGACAGCACACACTGCCACCCAGCTTAATGTCATCTGCAAATTTGGAGATATGGCATTCCTTCATCCAAGTTGTTAATGTATATAGTGAACAGCTGAGGTCCCAGCACTGAACCCTGCGGTACCCCACTCATCACTGCCTGCCACGCTGGAAAGGACCCATTTATTTCCAACTCTCTGCTTCCTGTCTGCCAACCAGTTCTCTACCCATGTCAATACGTTAGCTTCGATACCATGAGCTTTAATTTTGCTTACTAATCTCTTGTGTGGGACCTTTTCAAAAACGTTTTGAAAGTCCAGACATGCAACATCTACTGATTCACCAGTGTCTACTCTATTGGTCACATCCTCAAAAAATTCCCAAAGATGTGTCAAGCATGATTTCCCTTCAGTGAATCCTTGCTGACTAGGACCGATTCTGTCACTGCTTTCCAAATGTTAATGAGTGGTGTGCCACTAAGATCAGTGCTGGGACTTCAAATCTTTATGATTTATATAAAAGGACAGAATGTAAAGTTGCTAAATTTGGTGGTGTTACAAAGCCCTGTAGGAAAGTAAGGAGTGAATAGGACAAAGGGATGTAGATTGGTTAAGTAAGCGGGCAAAGATCTGGCAAATGGAGTAGAGTGTGTGAAGTTGTCCATTTTGGCAGAAAGAATAAAAGTAAGCATATTATCTAAATGTTAGGAGATTGCAAAACTGAGATGCAAAGGGATCTGGTGCCCATGTGCATGAATCACAAAAGGTTAGTGTGCAGGTAGAGCAAGTTTTTAGGAAAGGCAATAAATGATAATATTCTATTAAAAGAGGAATTGAAAATAAAAGTAGAGAGGTTATACTGTTATATGGGGCACTGGTAAGACAACATCTAGAGTCCTATATACAATACTGGTCACCTTATTTAAGGAAGGATGTAATAAATTGGAGGCCATTCAGGGAAGGTTTACCAGAATAGTAGCTGGAATGTGAGGATTTATTTTTATTATTCTTTCACAGGATGTGAGCATTACTAGCTAAGCTAACGTTTATTGCCCCTCCCTAATTTCCCAGAAGGCAGTTAAGAGTCAACCACATTACTGGGGGCCTAGAGTCACATCTAGGCCAGCAGTTTCCTTCCCTAAAGGCTATTAATGAACCAGATGGCTTTTCCTGAGAATCAACAATGTTTTCAAGGTTATCATTACACTCAATTTCTGATTTTTGTGAATTCAAATTCCACCATTTGACCATGCTTGATTTGAACCCAAGTCCCCAGACCATTACATGGGTCTCCAGATTAACAGTCCAGCAATAATATCACTTGGCCACCACCTCTACTCTAATTAGAAAAGATAGGATGCGGTGCGCTTGTATCTAGTGGAATTTGGAAGTGTAAGAGGTGACTTGATTGAAACATACAATTCTAAGGGGTTTTGACAGGTGGATGTGTTTCCTTTCACCGGAGAACCTAGAATTAGGACTCACAATGTAAAAATCAGGGATCACCCATTTTAAACATAGATTAGGTGATTTTTTTTTCCTGAAGCAATACAAGTCTTTTGGAACATGCTTCCTGAAAAGTTGGTGGAAGCAAAATCCTTGAATATTTTTTAAGGAAGAAGTGGATAGACTTTGGTTAAGCCAGGGGATAGTGAAAGATTATCAGGGTAGGTGGGAATGTGGATGCAAGGTTACAATCAGACCAGCCATGATCCTAATGAATGGCAGAGCAGGCTTGAGGGGCTAAATGGCCTATTCCTGATTCATATGACATTAATGAATAATTGTGAAGTTTCAGTTCCAGTGTGAGGCTTTGCTAGGCAGAGTTGGAGCAGTGGCCAAGTAACATTATTACCCCATCCCAGTCCTGTGTTTCTGTTGTATTTCACTGGATCATACTGCAAGTTTACCTCTTAAACAGCTTCATTTCTTTAAAAAAAAAGGCCATAGAGACATACAGCATGAAAACAGACCCTTCGGTCCAACCAATCCATGCTGACCATAATTTCTAAACTAGTCCCAGCTGCTTGCGCTTGGCTTATATCCTTCCAACCATTTCTTATTCATGAACGTATCCAAGTGTCTTTTAAATGCTGTAACAGTACCCACATCCACCATTTCCTCTGGAAGTCCATTCCAAACATGAACCACTCTGTTTAAATAAAAAGTGCCTCTGATGTTCTTTTTAAATCTTTTACCTCTCACCTTAAAAAGATGCCCCCAATCTTGAAATGCTCCACCACAGGGAAATGACACCTGCCAATGGATTTAGTAAAACACTACAGAGTACACTACAAATACTTACCGACAATTGTGAAATTCTATTTTACTCTCTTGAACTGTACATACCCTGACGTAATGTTTTGCTGAGGTGGAGTACAAATCACTTCCTCATGCAATCGTGATTTGGTACAAATAGGCCAGTCTGGTCACAGGATTTCAAATGATTAGACAAACAGAATGATCCTTGTAGTAAACATTCACCACTAAACATAGAAAGAAATGACTCCTTTCCTTCACTGACTTGAGGGGCATGGGTTCTACATTCTATAGGTTACATAAACTGAAACAGCATCTTCACCTTCATGCTCAAAGGGTGACAATTCAATGCTGAGTTAATAAATTCATTTCACCTCCAACACCTTGCTCCACTAAACTCTTCCATCTACTTTGCTGATTAACTAAAAAACAAAATTCCTCTTTGACACAAAATAAATAAACAAGTTTCTATATATTTCAGTCTGAAACTCCTTGGCACATTTTCCATCCCTCACTCTAGTATTCCAGTTGCACGTTTACATTCTAAACCCTTTGTGGGCCTAGTGTGAGGCAGAGTGGCATTACATAACTAAGTGTGGGTTTTTCAGTTACTAATAAACATACTTTTATTTCTATAAAGACTCTTCTTAAAATTCAATCTTGCACGATTTGTCAGACTCAAAATGGCTATAACATTTGCATCATTAAATTATGAATATATAAATGATCCCTTTTCTCCCCCCTTCTGGACCTCCACAAGGTAAGATCAGTGCTGAAATTTCCCCAAACCTGCACCTGTCATCAGTCCAAGCAAAGTGGAGTTTTAATCGAGTTCCTAAATATAGAACTGGTGAAAAGCGAGTGTGTCCATGAAAGGTCGCACCAGGTTGTCAGTGGAGAAGTAGAACACCAGGCCAAAGGTGATGGAAATAGGGAGTGCTGGTAAAGCTTTCTTAAACACAGCCAGCAACAGGAGCGTGAGGCACAATCCCTGTTGAAAAAGAAAAAACAAGGATATGACTTTGCTGCTATCAGTGAACTTAAATAGGAGAAATGTAGGATTGCCAACACTGCGGGGACATACTCCTAGAGGCGTCATCACATAACCTTAAACAAGCCTGCCTCACTATTCCACACATTCGTCATCCCACATATCCATCTTCGCATTACACCACCGACCAGAATCTGACCAGATTTCTTACCAATTAACTATCTTCAAAGGTTTTCTCAACATGTCCAATATGTTGCAACATGTTTCTTCATTGTTTTAAAGAAAAATGTTAAAAACAACTTAACAGCCCCATGATTTTGCACTTTTAGTTTCGATTTGCAAACGCCTCCCCGGGAGATTAATCTTTAGTTCCTAAAGGGTTGGCAACCCCTACTGAAACATCAGAATCAGTCCTTTTCTCAACTTACAATCAGAATGGCGATGAAGCAGGCCAAGGTTGTGTTCCAGTCTCCACTGGCACCCGCAGCAGCCTTGCCCACCAGGACACTGTAAAAGATGAAGTCCCCCAAACCAAGTTTCACGCCCTCTGTGAAGAGATTCACAAGGATACCATCATTAAGAGATTAGAGTGATCAGGAACAGCTGAATAGTTTAGAAAAGAAAAAGGGTAGAGGGATTGCCTGATAGAAGAGTTAAACATTATGAAGGGATTTCATTTGGTGCACATTCTACTTCTGGGGGAGTCCAGAACTGGGGACTATCAATACAAGATAATCACTAATAAATTCTTTTGTGAATTCAGGAAAAGCTTGTTTGCCTATAGAACAATGAGAATGCGGGACAGGCTTCTGCATGAGGGAAATAAATGCATTTAAAGGGAAGTTGAGTAGACAGGAGGGAGAAAGGAAGTGAAGGATCTGCTGAGAAAGTGGATGGGAGGAGCTCATGTGCAACATAAACATAGGATAGACCAATTGGACCAACAGATCTTCCACATTGTTTAATCTATCTATAAGCTATCTCACTACACCATGAACTGAAACTTCTTTGGAGTACTTTTGTTCATTTTTAAGAGGGTGAAAATGCTTTTTAAAAGTCAAGTGGTGATGTGAGGAATTATAAAACATTTACTGCATAAAAAGACACGCTAAAAGAACAATCCACCCAGCCGAATCCCACTTCAGCACTTGATTGTAGCCCTGCAGATTAAAATACTTGAGGTGCATATCCAGACACCCGCTGCTAAAGGAGCTGAGGGGTTCTGCTTCTTTTAGGCAGTGATTGCCACACTTCAACCACCCTTAGGAACATACTGTTCTGAGAATTATATGGGTAAGAGCTGTATAAACACTGAAAAGCAACACCAGTGTGAAGTTATTTTACTGAAGCCAATGCCACAGTTGCAGTCTAAATGTAGTTTGAATTTGGAGTAATGGTCCAATCTTAGCAAGGAAAGCTATGCTTGGAGCCAGTTCTGGTTTTAACATCTGTTTGAGGGAGGAATGTTGGCTAGGACATCAGGAAGTCTGTCCTGTTTTCCAAAAATGTCAGTAGAAGGCAGGAAGAACTTTTAGTCCAATCTTGATTTAAGTTCTCACCTGGAAGACAGACTCCTGACTTAGAAGGGAGTGTGACCTCACTAAACCAGGTACAGACTGTGCTAGACAAAAATAAAGTTGCATTTCTATAGCAAATTTACTGTATGAAAATGTCCCAAAGTGCTTCACAGGAGTGTAACCAGGCAGATACTAGCAAAAAGGAAACAATATTAGGAGTGCCAACAGCTTGTTCAGAGAAATGGGTTTTATGGAAGATCTTAAAGATGGTGGAGAGATTTTAGGGAGGGAATACCAGAAGTTGCTGACTAAACTGCTAATGCTCACGGGAGGTTTAGGTGGGGGGGGGGGGGAATGAATAAACGAGCAGGAAAAGGTCACATACTTTCTTCCTCGAGTTCCTCTCCCCCGGCAGCTGATTGGCGCACCCCTTGAATCTGAGTTGGAGGCAAATCAGCAACATTGTTCAATCCCTCAGCAGCGTGGTGATTTGCCTCAATCTCCACATCACGATAATTATCTAGACGGAAACACAGGAAGACGTCAGCATATGGCCTGAATGAAAGAATCCCCACTAAATACTCCAACAGAAATAAAAAGATTCCATGTGTATGGTCCAGTATGGTCTTAGGCTGGATATTTCCCTGGAGATTTGCCTCCAACCACCCCACCCATTCCCACACACTCCTACCATTAGTCATCCCATAGGAAGGTGGAAGGGCTCTTTAACGACCTGGTTGGACCATTCTCGACTCTTGGTCAAACAGTCTTTCTTCCCTATTCCAATGGTTTTCATAAACAAAAACACCATCTATTTCAAACTTTGCTTGGGTTTTTTTTTGCTGAGGGCAATGTTCTGGAGATTAATTCTCAGCCCCTGGAGGACTGGAACACCTAATTCTCTGTTGTTTTGTTACCGGGTGAGACCTAATGAGACCATTTTAACGATTTCAAACCATGCAGCATGAACACCATCACAGGCAGCAAATCTGCACACTCTCCTCCTCACCTATTCCAAATGTTTCCCTTCCTTCAGATTTCTACTGTCGCCTTTCCAAAAGGCAAATTTATAAGACACATTTTACTGAATATAATCTGGAAGTCTGTGAAAACCCTCCAATGAATTTCCATGCATCATTCCTCCTCCCTCCACAGATTTTTGTTTACTATATTTCCATCCTCAATGTGAACTCCTATTGCACAGTGAATAATGCACTCACCGAGGGATATTTGGGCAAGTTAAAACCTTACTAAACGTTTCTGTTGAATTGGCAGCAAGGAGGAACCCAACTTCCGGGGAGAAATTGTTAGTGTAGTGGTCAGGTCACCAGACTAGTAATCCAGAGTACCAGGCACATGGGTTCAAATCCCACCAGGACCGATGATGAAATCTGAATTCTACTTTTAAAAGGAATTATTACAGAATTCATAGAATATCTAGAATTAGGAGTTAGTTTCAATACGATATGTAACCACTGTAAATTGTCATTAAAACAATCATTTGGTTCACTCATGCCCTGTAGAGAAAAAATTTGATCTGGCCCACACGTAACTCCAGCCCCACAGCAATGTGGCTGACTCTTAACTGCCCTCTGGGCAATTAGGGACAGACGATAAATGCTGGCCGAGCCAGTGACATCCACATCGCACGAGTGAATTTGTATAAAATTATGAGCAGGTTGTTTCTCATGGTTTTGCCATGGCAGACAGTAAATTACTCACTTCAAACACAGGCCATTCAGCCCCTCAAGTCTGTACCGCTGAGTGTTCCCAACACCAGGATGCACCACTCACTCTCATATGTCACACCGGAATGGCCTTCTTTGGGAACAGAAGGCAAAGCAGTTTCATTGCTGTGGCAAAGTCTTGAACCTGCCTGTCCCCTCCTCACTGGCAGCAAAGACAGTTTTGAGGACAGGGGCTACTGTGCTCCCCCCGAAGCTTACCCACACAGAGATACTTTGTAAAATTTGCCCTCATCTGTAAGACAGCAAACTGTGTCCTAACTTTAACTTTGCACTATTACGATAACGAAAGATGAATAGTACAAGATAGTTATAGATGAAGGGAGCCATTCAACCAATCCAGTGACCCAAGCATTCCATCTGCTACTTCTCTTCTCAATACAGCATCCAAGTAGTTGCCAAATTATGCCAGATTTTCTCATATTTCCAGTTCTCAGAGTCATGCAATATAGAACCAGGGCCTTCAGTCCACCAGGTCCATGCTGACCAACAGACTCAAAACTTCACAAAATTCCATTTCCCCACATTTACTCCATAGCCTACTATGCCCCAGTATTTTAAGTACTCATCAAGATGCGTCTTAAATGTTGCAAAAGTATCAGCTTCCAAAACCCTCTCAGGCAGCACATTCCTTATTTCCACCACCCTCTGGGTGAAAAGATACTTCCTCAGATTTCTTCTAAACCACTTACTCCCTAAATATGTATCCTCTGGTCTTAGGCACATCTACCCACTGGGAAAAGATTCTCACAATCTACCCTGTCTATTCCTCTGATAACTTTGTAAACTTTAAAGGTAGGGTGTGTGGGCTACGTGCGTGTGTAGGGTGTGTGGGCTACGTGCGTGTGTAGGGTGTGTGGGCTACGTGCGTGTGTGGCATGTGTGTGCACTTAGAATTTCAGAATTTTTGTCCAAAATATGCCTTTCGCTAGATTGGACCTATTGCCTGTTGACTCCCTCTATATTATCTGAAGTAATATTCAGATTTTAACCTTTCCACCCCTGAAATGTGTGGACATACTTCCTGTAAGCAGCGCTCAGAAGCTGGGCTTGCTTCCATGAAAATAAAATTAAAAAGTAAAAATCCAATAGAATCCAATACTTGAAACAGAAATTCCCCTCTGACAGCCAGATTTTCTTGTGACTGCTAGGCAATGTATAATCCTCAAGTGGTTATTTACGACAACCCCTTTGAATTTCCTCAGCTAATTCATTATTGCTTTCTGAAGATAATAACCGCTTGTCAGAAGATAGATAGTGGAAATTTCAGCACTTGATTCTCAATATGTGGGCATTACTAGCAAGATTGCCATCCCCAGTGCTTCCTTGACAAGGCAGATCTTCTCAGTCCATGTAGTACAGGCATTTCCATGATGGTCTTATGTTGGGAGTTCCAGGACATTAGCCAAGTGGAAATGAAAGAATGGCCAATATTTATCCAAGTTCGAAAGGAGATGGAAATACAGTCGCAGGACTGTGAAGAAAGAGTGGGGAAGTGAGGCTTTACACAGGTTGCGGGAAGAGCTGAAATTTGTGTCACACCCGGAGAGAGATGTTGATTAGATCTCCACTTAATTCAGTTCTGAATTAATGCAGCACTGTACCTCAGATGAACATAGAAACTTTGAAGAGGGTGCAGTGCTAGAACAATATCAGAATGAAAAGGGTTACCTCATGACAAATGGTTGGAGAGACTAGGTTTATATTATTCTGAAAGGTATCAGATTAAAGGTGACCTTATCAAGACGTTTTAAAATTATTAAAGATGTTGATAGGGTAGATACCAAGAAAACGGTTTCCTCTGGGAAGGGACGGGACTAGCGGAAAGGGTCAGACCATTCGGGGTGAGGTCAGGAAGAACTTCTTTATACAGGGAAATAATGGAAATCTGGAATGTTCTCCTCAACAAAAATCAGATGAGGCTGGGATCTTCTGAAAATGTCAAAATGGAGATGGATTAATTTTTGCTGGGTAAATGTATTAACAGTCAGGGAATTAAAGTGGATAAATGACGTGAAATTCCAGATCAGCCATGATTTAACTGAATGGTCTCTTCTTACTCCAGCAATATGTTAAGTACCTTTAATGACACAGCCTCCAGCAGTTCAAGATGGATCACCACCATTTACTCCAGAAAATCAATGACTCTTCATTTTAAAGAAAATCAGCACAAGACATAGTGGGCTAAATGGTGTCCCCTCTATGCTGCCAAAATTCTAAAATAATGCATGGTTAGCACACAGTGATTGACAAGTTGAGTTTGGGAGCTACATTCCACCAACAGATTACCCTGCTGGGTTCTAACATTTTAAAGTGCTTTACAGAGGTTCCTTCAGCACCAGTCTCTCACTAACCTGCATTACAAGTATAGTTCAGAGGCTCGTCAGGGTCCATACTTCGCTTTGTCATCGTAACCAACCAAACCATTGTGGCTGCAGGGAAAGGGAACTCGTTAAGACACAATAATAAAAACAAAATACTGCAGGAGATGGAAATCTGAAAGAAAGGCAAAAAGTGCTTGAGAAACTCAGCAGATTTATAAGCACTTAGAAAGAGAAACAGAGTTAATGTTTTGAGTCCGATATGACTCTTCTTTGGAACTGAGAGGAGTTGTGGAACTCAATATTGAGCTCCACAGGCTGTAAAGTGCCTAAGCAGAAAATGAGATGCTGTTCCTCTTGCTTACGTTGAGTGTCATTGGAACAGTATAGCAGACGCAGCTCAGAAATGTTAGCATGGGAAATAGTGAATTCCACAACTTCAAACAATGATCTCTGTCTTCCATTTTTCTTATACCCCACCCTTCCCTGGCCATGTCTTGTTGACTTTACACTCAGCACAGCAGACTCATTTTCTCCTTTCTGTGCTTTCATTTACACCCATTTTACATTCCATTATCCTGTTTACCACTATTCTCACTCTCTATGTCTTTTGCTCTGGGGACCCTAACATTCTGTTCCATTTACTCCTCCACCTCTGCTGTTAACAGCATAAAAAACACTATTTCCCAACTCCTTTCTGTACCAAAGAAGAGTTATATCAGACTTGAAACATTAACTCAGTTTCTCTCTTGACAGATGCTGCCAGACCCGAGTTTCTCCAGCACTTACTGTTTTTATTTTATGGTTAGGACACAGTGTCCACCTGTGGGGTCAAGGCAAGTTTGACTTATGCTCTTCTTACTGTCGTACTAAAACGTGCAAGCCGGTGTTTCCTAAACTAAGTAAGGTAAAGATAAAGTTGCCACAGTCCTACCAGACAATAGGGCTGCTCTGTCATTACAGACAGACAACTTTGGTGGTTTAGCCTGACAGTCACCATGCCTCAGGCTGGGGCGAGGTTGGAAAGGTAGAACCTTCAAGGTAACCTCAGCCAGTGTGGGAATTGAAACCTTGCTGTTACCGTCACACTGCGTTGCAAACCAGCCATTCAGCCAACTGAGCCAAATGACCCCCATGCCCAAAACTGACTGTGAGCCTGAATTACAGAATCAGCCTTTAAAATATAATCAAGTATTAAGCCAAAGGACCAAACCAAAACATAGAGACCAATGTACTGAAACTTCAAATACGCAATTTGCTACATTTCTATGCAGCATTCATTTTTACCTACCTGTAACTCTATATCCTCAAACTTCCTCTATATTACACTGAACCCCAATATCTCAACTACTTCCCAATTACAATGCACAGTAACACTTCCAAATGCCCTCTATATTACACTTGACCTCACCATGCCAACTCAATACCTATTTCATTGAATCCCAAAATCCCAACTCAATCCCTATTACATTGAATTCTACCAGCCTTTGTGATGTTCTTAGTCATAGAACTGTACAGCATGAAAACAGATCCTTCGGTCCAACTCATCCATGCCAACCAGATATCCTGAACTAACCTAGTCCGTTTGCCAGCATTTGGCCTATATCCCCCTAAACCCTTCCTGTTTATGTACCCATCTAGATGCCTTTTAAATGTTGTAATTGTACCAGCCTCCACCACTTCCTCTGGAAGCTTATTCCATAGGCGCACCACCCTTGCGTGAAAAGGTTGTCCTTAGGTCCCTTTTAAATCTTTCCCCTCTCACCTTAAACGTACACCTCTAGTTTTTGACTCTGCTACGCTGGAGAAAAAACTTTGGCTATTCACCCTATTCATGCCCCTCATGATTTTATACAATTCTACAAGGTCACCCCTCAGCCTCCAACACTCCAGGAAAATAGCCCCAGCTTATTCAGCATCTCCCTATAGCTCAAACCCTCCAACCTGGCAACATCCTTGTAAATCTTTTCTGAACTCTTTTAAGTTTCACTACATCCTTTCTATAGCAGGGAGACCAGAACTGAACACAGTATTCCAAAAGTGGCAAAACCAATGTCCTATACAGCTGCCACATGACCTTCCAACTCCCCTACTCATTGCATTGAACAATAAAGGCAAGCATACCAAACACTTCACTATCTTATCTACCTGTGACTCTACTTTCAAAGAACCATGAACCTGCACTCCAAGGTCTCTATGTTCAGCAACATTTCCCAGGACCTTACCATCAAGTATGTAAGTACTGCTGTGATTTGCCTTTCCTCGGCTCATCGGCCCATGTGATCAAGGTCCCACTGTACTCTGAGGTAACCTTCTTCGCTGTCCACTACACCTCCAATTTTGTTGTCATCGGCAAACTTACTAACCATACCGCCTATGTTCACATCCAAATCGTTTATTTAAAATGACTAAAAGCAATAGACCCAGGACCGATTCTTGTGGCACACCACTGGTCACAGGCCTCCAGTCTGAAAAGCAACCCTCCACCAGCACCCTCTATCTCCTACCAGTTTTGTATCGAAATGGCTAGTTATCCCTGTATTCCATGTGGTCTAACCTTGCTAACCAGTCTACCATGAGGAACCTTGTTGAACACCTAATTGAAGTCCATTTGGATGACATCCACTGCTCTGCCCTCATCAATCCTCTTTGTCTTGTACTTGAAGGTGTGTCCTTCCTTTACAGTCTGTGATATTTGGTTTTTAAACCTCTAAAAGTGTAGGTGCAGTTTAATGTATATTTACATGAATATATTAAGGCAGGAAATATTGGTTCATTTCTCTCCTGTGCTGTTTCCACGAGCATACGTAGGGGACCTTTAGGGCACAGCACTGCTATTAGATCTGTAGAAAAACAGACATAATAAGCATCAGCACAATCATATTCAATTCAATGAAAGCTGCCACTGGCAACAGTTTTCAAATTACCACATGTTGGTCATGTAATAGCCCTCTGAGTTGTTAATTTATTGATGATACTAACTTCTATGCTGCTTTCATTTCTGTCTACTAGTCACACAGTGACCATTAAGGAAAGATTTCAATCTCTATGGAGCTGGATGCCGAGTGTTCAAAGCTGATGAAATAGTTTGAAGGGTCATCACTATTGTAATTTAGGAAAGGCAGCAGGTTATTTGCAACCAGCAAGCTCCCACAAACATTAGTGTGGAGGAATAAATATTGACAAGGACAAGATTCTCCTGCTCTTTTCTGAAATAATGCCATGGGATCTTTTACAACCGCCCGAGCTTACTTAAATGTTTCATCGGAAAGGCAGCACCTCTGACAGTGCAGCACTCCCTCAGCATTATACTGTGAGCGCCTGCCTAGATAATATGCTACGTCTTCAGAGAGGCACTTGAACCCAGAACGAGTCGAATGCCACAGATGACAGGACTATCCACTGAGCTACACTGAACACAGTGAAAATACAGCAATGATAACATCCTGAACTCCATTATTTTTAGGCACACATTCCACCTTACTACACAAGCTGTCCTCATTAGTTTTCAGTAAAATAACCCTGAGAATATCCTGTACTTAATCGATGTGATAAATCAAACATTAAATGCTTTCTGTGTTTATGATCCTGATTTTCCACATTCTGAGTTTTGCACATACCGTAAATAGATATTGTGCCAAGAATGACCCAGGCTGACCATTCAGGAAGGTATTTAATGAAGACCAAGGCCATCAGTGCACTGATCATGATGAGGTAAGCCTGCTGGAGCTGCAGAGGTCCCTTCCAGTGGATACAAACCATTCCTACTGCTCCGAAGTTCCAAATGATTAGGATCAGGGTGGGGTAGTCCATGGCCACATTGTACGTCTTAAAGACTTCACTAGAATGGAGACAAACTGAGCTGTAAGTGAAGCAACTGGCAAAAGCTGGAGGACAGGAGAGAAAAGTACAAATACATACCCCAGGTAAATGTATGTGAAGAGGAATAGCAACAGGAGAGACGAGAGAATCAGCCATCCATGGATAAACTGGAAAATTTGAAATCTCTGGTTAGGTGACAGTTTTCAGTTGTTTGTTCCACCTGCTGCTGAATCCAAAGAGTATCAGTGAGGAAAAACCTCACATTCTTCGATGCTAGCTTGACATCAGATTCCAAATGCACAATATCTTGTGACAGGTTCACAGAGTAATAATAAATTAGACAGAAAGTACATCTTTACAGCATCTTTCACAGTACCCAATAAAGAGCTGCGAAAGTGCACCTACTGTCATCATGTACGAATGCAATGGCTAATACACACACAGCAAGATCCCACAAATAGCAAAGTGATAATGACCCAGCACTTTCTTTTAAGGTTGGCTGAGTGTTAAAAATTGATGTGGACACTAGGGAGAACATCCTGTCCCTGCCCACTCTCTGGAATGAGACAGACTGGGGAGCAAAGACAATGTAATGCAAGTTCTTACTTCTTCCTTGCTACTGCTGTGCTGTTTGATCTATCATTAGTCTTTTATGCAGTTGGTACTGATGTCATACTAGTGAACAACGAGTTGAATGCCAGTTTTGTTTTCACACAGCTATAGAAAGGACTTGTTGTTTGGAGCCTTGCATGTGACACAGGATTGAGTGCAATAGAGTCAGCAGTGATATATTAAACCTCCCTAGTGTATTTGCCTCATGGTGAAGAAGATCCAGTTAGTGGGTGACCTTGAGAGAGTAAGTGACACAAGGCAGGTCTTGTCTGCAGTGGCACCACATACTAACCATCTTTCTAGTGTATACGGCTGAGTCACATCTGCTATCAATAGCCTTGCAGATAGGCAGTGACTCAAGCTGACGGTGGTTCCTCCATTGCATCTAATGATGGCAATTTAACAACGTAAATCACCCACTGGTTGCAGTACTGAGTACGGAACTGACATCAAATACCAACAATAGCTGCAACATTTGACAGAATTTTGCACTAACCCCTTTACAACCTCAAACATATGTTACTGAACAGGGCCCACAACTTTACACAGTCTACAATTTCACACGGTTTATACATAGCTCATAGTGCAGCATGTAATATCACAGCAATTAAACGTAGAACATGAATTATACAATGCCACTCACAACCACTCAATACCCCAAAATGCTTTACAGTCAATTAAGTACTTTGAAGTGAAGTCACTGGGATAACATAGGAACAGTGTAACTCCTGCTGCCAGCTAGAAAGGCATCAGGGATGTGGCTGTACATGTCCATTTGGCCCACATTATGGATGCTGGCAACAGCACACCTTTCCAAAAACTAAAAATGCTCGGAAATATTGCTGTTAAAGTTCCCAGGAGAATCAGAGTTTCTGGAGCTTGGGGGCAATTTTGAAAAGGTTCAGGCAGTGTTAACTGGGGACAGCAAGTTTAGGATTGATGCCAATCTGTGCAGAGGCTGATTTTCAGAAATATGAAACATTTAACATTTAAATTGTATTAATAATGGCTCCTTACGAACAGTAACAGCTGTCACAAAAGTCAGCAGGTCTTTATGGATGGAGTTATTGCATAGATTGCTGGCTGAGTGGTAGTGAAAGGGATTGTTAATCCCAGGGTCATGTCTCGCGTCCTGCATTTGCTGATGATTTTTATTAATAATTTTTTAAAATTTTAAGTAACTAAAGAACACACAACTACAAAAGAAATACATATTCAAGTGCTTCCAATAAAGATAAACTCCTATTTTCAGAAATGCACTGGATAGATTTCCTCAACCAGGTAGGGGAACTCACAATTGTCTATAACAATCTGATGTCAAAAATTCTAGGTGAATCAATATTGAAACAAAACATTCATACTGCCATTACAAGAAGCTGACTGTTACACTGTCCGCTTGCTACAGGTTGCATCTTTTCTGTGAATTGATTTCATTATTGAGAGGACAGTTACGAAAGACCAGATTGCAATACAAAATGCATATCTGACTGACAGAAAGCACAACTGCACAAAATAAAACATCTCTCACTTTTAACAGTCACAGATTCTGATACACTGTGATTGACACTACATCTGCAGTCTATCCTCTAGTGTAATGGCACAAATTACACAGCTACGTAGGAAACATAGCAGAAAATCATAGCTAGCACACTCCCACAATCAGCAATTGACTAATGATCAGGTATTCTGCTTTTTGAGTAATGCTGATTGCCAGGACCAAAGGAGAACTTCTCTGTTCTTCAGCAAAATAGCATCATGGGATTTTTTTTATATTCAGGCAAAAGCAGACAGAGCCTGGATGTAATGTCTCATGGCACCTCTGACAGCACTAACATTGCTTCAGTACTGCACTGGGAGCATCATAATATGTGTTCCAGGGTAAAATATTGCTGATACTGGAAATCTGAAATAATAACATAAAATGCTCAAAGCAAGCAGGTGTTCAGGCAATAATTATGAAGAAACAGTTAATGTTTACTGATGAAGGAATCGACCTGAAAGATTCACTCTATTTCTCTCCACAGATGCTGCCTGACCTGCTGTGTATTTCAGGCATTTTCTGTTCAGTTAGACTTGAGCACTGTCATTATGACTCAAAGGTGACAACGCTACCTACTGAGCCGCAGCCAATCATAATTTATTAGTGGCCCACAGGATCACACAGTTCAAACTCCTCCCAGTTAGTGATATTCCCCCAGAGGAGTGCAGACTGATGGATCAGTCCTATAGTTTTATAGGCTTATCTCTGACTTCAGTTCACAGTGAACAAGAATCCACTGAGGCATGTGCGGCAACTATAACTGACCAAAAAGAGGTGCTTTGCTTCTCTCCTGCATTATAGAAATTTCACAACACACCACCCCCACCCCCAATAAGACAAGTACTTTTATAGTTCCTGAGCGAAGGGAGGTTAGCAGATGAAATGACCAATTGGATGTCCTTAGATCTTAGTGACAAAGAAGTCCTTGAGCTCCCTGTACTTGGTGTTAGGTGAAAGTGGGGACAGGAGATACAGGTTTAAGACTGATGGAGTAAATGGCTTCTAGTCCCACATATGATACAGTGGCAATAACAGTATCATTAGAGTAGGGCTTCCAGGATTTTGACCCAGTGACAGTGAAGGAGATTTGACATATTTCCAAATCAGAATGGTGTGGCTTGGAGGTGAACTTGCAGGTAATGGTGCTCCCATTTGTCTGCTGCCTTTGTCCTTTTCAGAGGTCGAGGTTGTGGGTTTGGACTGTGCTTTTGAAAGACCTTTGGTGAGTTTTTTACAGTGTATCTTGTAGATAGTACATACTGTTGGAACTGTACATCAATGATGGAAGGAATGAACGTTTAAGGTGGTGGCCAGGATGCCAATTTATCAGGCCACTACGTCCATAAGTGAAGGTACAAAATTATTTCCTCTTGAAGAATGTGTAATTATATAATAAACTCAAATAAAAAAATCCCTACCTTATAACATCGATACTTGTAAAGAAGAACAAGAATTATAGTCATTACGACAATAACACTGATCATTATTAATGTGTTCAGGATGGAGTTGAGGATACGTTGTCCAACAGAGTCAGTATCCTCGGTAAATGGGGTGTAGATTCTGTTGAAGAAAAAGTGGGAACAGAAGTTAATGGAGTTTAATTCATTTGCAACAATTACAATTGTTGTTCAGGTATTCCTAGGTAGCTAAAGTAAGAACAACTTACACTTTGACATACCACATCTGAATGCACTTCACAGGAGCATGCCAATCAAATTGGACATTATAACATATTCAGTGATGTTCAGAGGGATGACCATGAGTTTGGTCAAAAAGATAGCATCTTAAGAAAGAGATGTGCAGAGGTCTAGAGTGAGAATAGCAAAGCTTAGGGTCTCATCCATCAAAATAGAATGATGAACACACTTGCAGATTTACAGACTGTGTTAAAGGGGCTATAAGAATTTAAATTGTTGTTATGACGAAAGATCTAAACTAGCAAAAGTTGTTATATCTACTAACGACTAGCAGATTCATTATTTAACCATTGAGTACGATTTCCTGTGCCTGCCGTGTAATGAAGGATTAATGTGTGTACTAATTGGGTGAAAATATTCTGTATAAAAGGCACACTTGGGAACTTTTTTGTACTGAGCACAACATCTAGAAGAACTAAACCATCTGAAACGTGGGGTGTCTTTTCAATGTCTTAATATTTTGTGGGACTTAACACCCACAAAGAACATCTTCTGGGTTTTACTGGACTGCAGGAAGTTAGAATTGGAATTGTTCATGACACTAACAGAGCCTTAGAGAGCCCCTTCCAACTCTCTGAAAGATTCCTTTTGAAATTGCAGGTGACCTGGGCTCTGTTTCTCCCAGACACAAAATGAGAACCTGCCTTGGGGCACTCAGGTAGCTGAAACTCTTCTTTCTGCACCTAGAAAGTCACAACCAGCACCATCAACTGAAGCTGGGGCAAATGGTCTAGATGCATGGCCTGTGACTAATTTCTGATAGTCCCTCTCCATCTCCATCTCCTCCCAGAAGGGACACCTCGACGCAACGCTAAGACAACAGATTTCCAAATCCACAATGGTTATCCTGACTTGCCCAGGCTTTGGTCTACAAAAAAAAAAACACCTGCAGCCTCTGTAATATTTAAAGAACTCAAAAATGAGTCTCTCCCTCAGATGGAACACGTATGATCAGGTGGGGGAGCTGGGAATAAATAAAACATTTTTTAATCATTACTGGAAAGAAAAGTGGACTTACCTAACAAATTCTTAAGGGTTACATTGGCTTGCTCCAGTATAATTTAAAAATAAAACTTGCATTCAGCTTAATTAGACCAATACTGACAACATTGTGCTCAGTTCTGGTTTCCACAGTATAAAAAAGTCATAGAGGCACAGGAAAAAGTGCAAACAAAATTCAAAGTCCAATACCAGAACTGAGAGGTTATATCTGTGAGGAAAGACTGACCAGGCCAAGGCTTGTTCCTCTCAGTTTTGGAGAAGGCTGAAGACTGACCTGATAGATGTCTTTAAGATGATAGAGGGCTTTGATACAATTTGAGAATTCAGAAAAAGTTTCTTTGCCCAAAAAAACAGTATGAATATGGAACTCAATACCAACAGGCATGGTTGAAGTGAAGAGTATTGATGCATTTAACAGAAAGCTAGACAATTACTTGAGGGTAAAAGAAATGGAAGACACACAAATATAGTCAAATAATAAGAGCGAGAGGAGATTGTGTGGAGCATTAACGACAGCTTGGAGCTGTTTGGCTGAGTGGCCTGTGTCTGAGCTTCTAAATACAGCAGACAGGAGCAAAATTTGCAAGAGATCATAGATCATAGAATAGATCATAGAATCCCTACAGTGTGGAAACAGGCCCTTCGACCCAACAAGTCCACACCGACCCTGAAAGCATCCCACCCAGACCCGTCCCCCTATAACCCACCTAATCTACATATCCCGGAACACTACAGGCAATTTAGCAGACACTCAAATCTCCAAATCAGGAGGCAGTAGTTTGCAGGTCACTTACAGTTGCCCATCCTTTTGTGTGTAGAAGCTGACAGATTTAATTGTCACTACCACAACCGCCATACAAAGTGTAACAGGCACAAACAGCATGATGACGTGCTTCGCCCCATACTTTAGAATCAGCTCCTCTTCTTCTTCCTCCTCACCCTCCCCGCCTGCATCTCTGCTTGCAGGCCCACTTTCGGTGCCACTGCTCCTCTCCTCAGGATTTGCCGGTTGACTGGCTGCCAATCGTCGCTGTGCAGGCAAAACAACACAAGGCGCCATTAATAGTCATGTTAAACATGTAAAGAACTCTGCAGAGAACACACTGCTGGAGTAGCATGCACACATGTGGTCTTTGTTACAACCTGAAAAAGATAATGACGGTGCAAAAAAAAATTACAAGAATGATCCCAGACTAAGATTAGATCTACCAGAAAAAAATTGAACAGACTAAGGCTCTTTCCTCTAGAACACAGACGTGTCAAGTGTGATTTGGTAGAAATCTTTAAATATATGAAGGGATTTAATAGGACAGAATGTTTCCATTTGTAATAGAAGTAAAACAAGGGTCCATAAATATAAGACAGTCATTAATCGATCTAATACAGAATTCAGGAGAATCTTTTTTACTCGAGATTGAAAGAATGTGGGACTTACTACTACAGGGATGTGTTTAGGTGAAGCTAGATATACACACGGGAAGAAGGAATAGAAGGATATGCTGATAAGATGTACTAAGGGGGGTGGGAGAAGCTTTGGATAGAATATAACAATATCATAGGCCAAGTGGGCTGAATGGTCTATGTCTGTGCCGTAAGTTCTACGTAACTCTTTGTAATGGACATAATCCTGCCATGTACTTAAATCTACAAAATGTGACAGAGTTATTGGAATATTATGTCATTCAATTTCAATGTACCCTTGATATCAGATTTTAAATTTCACAAAGACTGGCAACAGCCCAGCAGTGGATGGCTCAGTCTGCCCTGTTAGTGTGCTTACCCGGTTAGACCGGACATTGGCAGCACCAGGTGTCCCGTCCCTCTCTTGATAGGAGGGCATTGCAGAGGAGTTGGCTGACATCAGAGCCGTCCTCTCAGTGTACAGTTCCTCTTCGCTGTCTGATGAAATCATGAACAATCTTTCTGCAAGCACGAGTGGATAATCTCACACACCAGCCAGGTAACACTGCAAAACATAAAGACAATGTGCATCAAGAGATGAAGAACACTGTAATTAAATATTACCTCCAGCAATTGATGTTGTTCAGTGTACTGTAACTCCCCTTCGATCATGGTATTCAGCCACTTCATCATTTTGCAGGACCTGTCCTGTTTTAGTAATGTAACAGTCAGGAGTCAGATTTATTAATGTAATTATGGAGAGCTGGCCTTGGTAACTTGGCCAAGGGGAGGCAGTAACTGCAGGAAGACAACTTTGCACTGACTTGCATTCCAATCCGTACGTACACCACACACTGTATAAAGTGGTCAAATCCTTTGGATCCCACTACCCTGAGTTTCAAGCTATTCCCTTTTATTACTGAATCATTGCATCTCACAGCACAAAGAAGATCATCTCATCCATCATGCCCACATCAGCTCTTTAACAGAGCCACGCAAGAAGTCTCAACCCTGTACTCTTCACCCACATTCCTGTTCTTTTGTTTTTCTTTTCAAGCATTTATCAATTATCTTTTTAAGTTTACTCTTAATTCTGTTCCCATTCTCCTTTCAGGAAGCACATTCCAGATCACTACAATGTGTATGTTTAAAAAAAAACCTTTTCCCAGTCCCTTTGACTGTGCCTCAAGTTTGTGCCCACTGGTTACTGACACTCTTGTCAATAGAAATATTTTCTCCTTAATTACTGCTTCAAAACCCTTTATTTATTTTTAACACAGGTAATGAAGCTCCTTTTAATTTTTTGCTGTTCTAAAGAGATCAATCTCAGTTTCTTCAGTGGCTTCACACATCTGAATCAGTGATTGTTAAACTCATTGACATTTATCGTGTCAACAGCCATTACAGCAAGATGCCACCACAGTTTGGTCGCCTCCAGTTTAAAAATAGAGCACGAGCACTGAAGCACAGACTAATTCATAGTGGCAGGGAACTTGGAGCTGCAGATTCCTGAAATCTATTGGAAACATTCATACTCTCATTGGGAATATTCCTGGAGGTTTCATTACATGACTTGCCATCCTCACCACTGAGTGTCACGTCATTTCACCTTCCGAATTGCCAATTGGAAATCAAAAAGACTTACTGTCACTCCCCTGAGTGACATTTGAAAATCAGTCAAACTGCCTTTTGCTATGCTTGTAAAAATGTGTGAAAGTGGGGAGCAAAATAAAACAAAGAAAATAAATTTTAAAAAGCTCCCTTATGGTTTATCTCCTGTTTACTTGCAGGAATGGACCAAGAGTTTAACCTTTCCTTCCTGGACGCTCCACGGTGATTCTGGGACAGCGTTGGCAATCAAAAAAGAGACTAGTCGATTGCAGTGTTTGCACCTCCTCACCCCCAACTCCCCACCTCAATCTCTGTTTTGCAGAGAAGTTTATTTTCAGAATGACTGTTAAAGCCCTTATTGCTGCAGGTTGAGCATTTACTATTGCAGAGTATGGTTACCGATGCTCAGATTAACGATCTATACCAGATGAAAGCATCAGAACATCACAGTAATGTACAATGGGACTCACAGGCTGTGGTTGTCATGGGTCCGAATAAAAAAGACAAGGCCTCCTTGTCTCTGGCCCAGTACCACAGGTTCCGAGTTTCTGTAGCTCTGTCCCCAACCCCACGCCGGAAAAGAGAACCGAGTAGAAACATTAATAAAATCAAAAGCGGGCACACGGACGCCCGCCCTCCCCTTTGTAACTTGCCTGGTCAACTGCGAGCCGAAGGTCTATGAGATTCAGAAAAGATCTGTCAAGCAGGTAACCATCTACCGTAAGGGAGACAAGAACAAGGCAGAAAATCAGCTGATCCGATCAAAACAAGGACAGAACAACTCCTTCCCACAAACCCTACATCTCATGAGATTTGAACGTTACTTGGGCTGAGTGTGGGACTGCCCCCATTACATGGCTGTACGTAGCAACTGTTTAGGGAACTAACTGTAACCATAGTCTGCAGCTTTGATTTCAAAGCACTGTTCCAATTCCCCCACCCCCCTTTAATCCTTAAACAATCTTCGAACATATAAAACCAGTCAGGAAAATAAAGAAAACCAGCTGTTGTGCAGAAAGCCAATATAAGAGTTTTAGTTTGTTCCCTACAATACCACATTAAGACTCTTCTGTAACACAAATTTTGGTGACTATTCAGCACCTTCGGTTTCCCCTATTTAAAAATCTGTTTACCTTTTTTCCCACCTGCTGAATAATCGCACTCAAACGTATGCTAGGTTTTTTTTTCAAAAGATTAAGGGAGAAACCAGTTTTCCTGTCCAGCCAGTTTATGCTGGCGTTTGCTATTCATATTTGCAGCGTCCTATAACTCGCCCTGTCGCCCACTTCATCATCCGCCTAGCCTTTTCATTGCTGCTTATGGTATCTTGCTTTGCACAACTTGGCTGCCAGGTTTCAACAACAGCCTGCATTTATACAGTACATTTAAAGCAGTAAAGCATCGAAAAAAAAACACCTCACGGGAACACTAGCAAACAAAATCAAACTTCACACAATATCAAGAAACGGCTGAAGGTACCAGATACTCTGAAGGCTACGGACCCTGAGAACAATCTGGCAGCAGTACCAGAAAGTTGTGCTCCAGAACTTGCTGTTCCCCTCGCCAAGCTGTTCCAGTACGGCCATAACACTGACATCTTCCTGGCAATGTTAAAAAAAATCGCCCAGGTATGCCTGGTCTACAAAACAGGACAAATCCAAGCCAGCCAATTACTGCTCTGTCAGGCTACTTCGAATAATAGGAAAAATGATGGTTTTTGTCATAACAGTACCATTCAGTGGCATTCACACAGTGATTACCTGATGTTGAGTTTGGGTTTGGCGAGGTCTTCTCAATTCCTGACTTCATCATAGCCTTGGTCCAAACATTGGCAAAACAGCTGAAGTTGAGAAGTGAGGTAAGAAATACTGCACTTGGGCATTAAGGAATTCTAGCAAAACCAACATAAATGAGAATCAGAGCAAAATGTTCAACTGGTTGGACTCAAAACCTAGCACAAAGGAAGATGATTGTTAAAAATCATTAATCTTAGTCCCGGCAATCAGGGTAAATTATTTTCTCGTTGACCCATTCAGAGATAATGTTACACACGACTGGAGAAGGTGGGACATGAACCCAGCTCAAAGGTTGGGACACTATCACTGCGCCATAAGAGTCTTAGTTCCTCAGGGTAATTATTTGGTCCGTGTCATCAAACTGCTTTTTGTTGCATCTGACGTTCCTAACCAGCTTATTAAATATTTTCTAATCAAATTGTTCAAGGATGTTAATAAACACTTGTGGAGCAAATAGATCTTAAATCTGGCTCTTCTGACTCAGAGTTGGGGTACCACTCCTGTTCCACAGGAGTCCTAGCTGTTCCCCAGGGTATATTTTTCCTAATTAACCTGCTCAGAGATGTTATTACACGCTTCTTGAGCAATTGGGATTTGAACCTAGGTCTCCTGGCTCTAAGGGAGGTACACTACCATTGTGTCATAAGGGCCCTCAGAGTAGTGTTCCATGCCAGATCATTTTCAACTGTTTTATCATAACCTCCCCTCCATCCTAAGGGTCAGAAGTGGGAATATTCACCAATGACAGCACAATGTTCAGCACTATTCATAACTCCTCAGCTATTGAAGAAATCAGTGTCCAAATGCAGCATCATCTGAACAACATTCAGGCCTGGGCTGTGAAGGGGCAAGTAATATTCATGCCAGATAAGTGCCAAGGAATGACAACTCCCAACAAGAGAGAATTTGACCATCTCCCCTTGACATTAAATGGTACTACTATTGCTGAAAAACCCAGAATAAACATCCTGGGGTTACCATTGATCAGAAACTGAACTGGACTAGCCATATAAATACTGCGTGATCAGTAAACTTCACACATTCAGGAAGGACAGATCAAATCCAGAGTGAAACACAGCCCAAGTGAGTATATAGTTTGGGAATTTGGAGACAATGTGGGAATTCGGTGCAGAGGGAAATGAGGTGGTTTTTGCTTGCATTTTTTTGGCTCATAGTTTGTAATTTTTTTTCACAGGATAAATTGAAATCCAGGATCAGGGGCCCAGCACAAAAGAGTGACATCACAGATAAACCATAACTTCATTGATTGGTGGAAGCTACTAATTTGACTATATATTATAGATTACTTTCAGACTGAAGGCAAACAGGGGAAATAGTTATAGGCTACAAACTAAAAGACCAGTATGAAATTTTAAACATCAAATTAAGAACAAAGTAATTAAAATAGAGAATCAAAGTCAGGCTATGTGTTGTAACTACATGACGTAGGGGTTGGCAGCCCCTATTGTGGTTCATAGTGATAAATTCTGTAGCAAGTGTTGGTTGCTTGAGGAACTCTGGCTCAGAGTTAACAAGCTGGAGTCTGAGCTTTGAACATTGTCACTCATCAGGGAAGGTGAATTACCTAAATGCTGTGTTTCAGGAGGTAGTCACACCCCCTAGACTAACTACCTCAAATTTGGACAGTGGTCAGGGACAAGGGGGTATGGAAGGTAGAAGAATTCAGGAGGTGGTGCTAAAGGAGCCTCAGCCCTTGAGCTTAAGAAATAACAAGGTGTAGAGCTGGATGAACACAGCAGGCCAAGCAGCATCAGAGGAGCAGGAAGGCTGACGTTTCGGGCCTAGACCCTTCTTCAGAAACCCATTTCTGAAATGTACTTGTAATTGGGAATAGTATAGTCAGGGGAAGAGACACTGTCCTCTGTGGCCAGGATCAAGAGTTCCGAAGGCTGTGTTGTTTGCCTGAGTTCGGGATATCCCATATGGGCCACAGAGGAACTTGGAGTTGCGGGGGGAAGATCCAGTTGTTGTTGTTGAAGGATATTGTTAAATCAGAAAGGGTTCTAGAAAGATTTATCAGGATATTGCCAGGACTAGAGGGTTTGAATTATAAGGAGAGGCTGGGACTTTTTCCACTGGAACATAGGAGGTTGAGGGGTGACCTTACGCAGTTAATAAAATCATGAGGGGCATGGATAAGGTGAATAGCAAAGGTCTTTTCCCTAGGGTTAGGGAGTTCAAAATTAGGAGGCCTATTTTTAAGGCGAGAGGAGAAAGATTTAAAAGGCAGCTGAGGGGCAACTTTTTCCACAGAGAGTGGTTCATATACAGAATAAACTGTCAGAGGAAGTGGTAGATGCAGGTACAGTTACATCATGTAAAAGACATTTGGACAGGTACATGAATAGGAAAGGTTTATAGGGATATGGGCCAAATGCAAGCAAGTGGGACCAGTTTAGTTTGGGAAACTTTGTCAGCATGGACGAGTTGGAGTAAGGGTCTGTTTCTGTGCTGTATAACTCTATAATCGCTAGCGGGCGGTAGCCATAATATGATGAGATCCACACTGCGGTATGAGGGGGAGAAGATTGAATCAGATGCAACAGTATTACAATTGACTAAAGGTAACGACAAAGCAAGGGAGAAGCTGGCCAGTGTTGATTTTAAAGGGAGCTCTAACAGGGAAGATGGTGAAGTAGCAATGGCAGGAGTTTCTGGGTAATTTGAGAGGCACAGTGAAATTCAACCCAAGAAACATACAAGGGGAGATTGAGGCAACTGTGGCTGACAAGGAAAGTCAGGGACAGAATAAAAGCAAAAGAAAAAGCATACAATGTGAAGATGACTAGGAAGGCAGAGGATTGGAAAGTTTTAAAAAAAAAACCAAAAGGACAAATGGGTAGCACAGTGCTCAGTAGTTGGCACTGATGCCTTGCAGCGCCAGGAACCTGGGTTCAATTCTAGCCTTGGGCGACTATTTCTGTGGAGTTTGCACATTCTCCCAATGTCTGCGTGGGTTTCTGCCAGGTGATCCGGTTTCCTCCTACAATCCAAAGATTTGCAGGTCAGGTGGATTGACCATGCTAAATTACCCTGGGTGTCCAGGGGTGTGTAGGTTAGGTGGGTTAGCCACAGAAAATGCACTATTACGGGGAGAGGGTGGGGGAGGTTGAGTCCAGGTGAGATGCTCTTCAGAGAGAGTTGGGGTGGACTTGTTAGGCCATTTGGCCTATTTCCACACTGTAGGGATTCTATTCTTTAAAAAGCAATAAGGGTGGGAGAAGATGAAATGAGAGTAAGCTAGCCAGCAATGTAAACAAAGATTTGCAAGTTTTTTTTTTAAAAAAGATGTCTAAAAACGGTAAGAATGGACATTGGATTACTGGAAAACGAGGCTGGAGAAGTAGTAAAGGGAACAAAGTAATGCAAAGGAACTGAATATGTATTTTGCATTATTTTTCACAGTGGAAGATACCAACAGCATACCAGAACTTCAAGAGAGTCAGAGGTCAGTGTAGTGGCCATCACTAATAAGAAGTTACATTAATCACTTGGACCAGATAGACCACACTCCAGAGTTCTTAAGGAGATAGCAGAGGAGAGTGAAGAGGCAATAGTGGTGATCTTTCAGGAATCACTGTACTCAGAGGAGGGTCCCAGAGAACTGGGAAAATGGCAAATGTAATAGCCCTGTGTAAGGGAGGGAGGCAGAAAACAGGAAACTATAGGCTAGTTAGCCTGACCTCAGTCTTGGTAAGATGCTAGTCTCCATTATTAAGAATGAGGTTGCAGAGTACTTGGAAGTTTATAGTAAAATAGGACAGAGTCAGTACGGCTTCATCAGGACATACCTGACAAATCTGTTAATATTCTTTGGAGGAGGTAATGAGCAAGTTAGATAAAGTAGAACCAGTGGATGTGATCCATTTCGATTGCCAGGCCTTTGACAAGGTGCTGCACAGCAGCCTGCTAAATAAGAGCCCTTGGTGTCAGGAGCAAGGTTCTGGCATTGATAGAAAATTGGAT